CAATTCTGAAAAATAAACATTTAGAGGAATTTAACAAAATCAATTATTAGTGTTTATTGTAATAATTTAACATAAAATTCATTAAATCCTTAGTCAACTATGATTGGACTAGCCTCTCAAAAAAAAAATGGAAAAATAAACCTAGAAATAAAGAATTGGCAAAAGCTAACGAACGCCCCAAGGGCGTTGGATAATATAATTAAAAGTAGAAATATTAACTTGAAATAAACATTAATTACATTGATTGACGCATGATTTTGACATGCATTCTCAAATTAAAACCATTTTAAAAAATAGTTTAAGGGAATACCCAATATCTCGGAGGCGTTCATTAGCAAGATCCAAAAGAAATTTATGTCAGGACACCTACAGAAGTACTTCGTATTAGGAATGAATCAGAAATTTATTGTTAAAATTTGAGTGCATAGATGGGCTGATGGACAGAAGTTTCAGAGGCCCATAGTCAGTCGTTGAAAATGTGTTTAAAACCATGTTGTGATTTGATTAAGAGGGTCCAAAACATAACTTCCCCTATGTACTTTTGGGCCCGTAAGCAATGTTTATATAAACTCCGCCAAAGTAATTTATAATAGAATTAGTATTTAGCCTGTGCAATGCACGGATTAATTTTGTTGGCTAGATACAAAGTATATGTTTTTCAATTAAAGAATTTATTATTGTGTATTTAAATTGGTCTTAGGTTTTTTTTCAAATCAAAACATGTGTAAATATAAATTGTATTATGTTAGTAACATAAAATACTACGTAAATGTAATGCAATATATTCTAATCTAAAAAAAATAAAAATACATCATATTAAATATGAGATTTAGACATACAAAGTACATCAACTAAAAAGCCATCTACTAATACAGGTTTAACCCAGACCTAACGTACATGTGATGGAAAACATTAGCCTGTATATGTGGATGCATTAAATGATAAATTGTATAATACAAAATAATTTATAATAAAATCACTAAACATTAATCAAACAATAATACTTTTGATTAAAAAATTTATTATATATGTTTCTTTAGTTAATATCAATCAAGAGACACTATGAGAGTACAATGAAAATAAAATTATTAGTACAAAACTAATCATATAAAATTCTTATTAAATTATTCCGAATGTCTCTTCAAAAATTGATATACTTCGTATTATAATTTCCATCCAAATATATTGTTCCTTTGTTGAATATTGAATTTCACCTGCAAAACACATAAAATCACCAACTAATAAATCAAATCAACAATATTAAAAAGAAATAGAAAACAAAATCAAAATTGATTATTAAAGCGAAAATATATAGTGGAGTAGAATGTAAAATTTAGAAAAAGATTATTTTAAAAAAAATAAAATAAAAAATCTGCTTATGTGTAATCGAACATTTTGAACATGAAAAGTAGATACTCGTAATTTTATCATAGAATGAAAGTACAATGTAATATCAAGAAAAGAATACAAATAACTACTCTGCAACATGAAAAGCATCATGTTAGTAATAAGTGAAAATGACAATTCAAAAGCTAATTTTTTTTTTTGAACAATTAAAAAGCATAATTAAAATTAGATCAAATAAAAGAATTGTTTTGCAAATCTAGTTCAAATTTACAAAATTGGTATTAAAAACACAATAATCGAAAATCATAGACAAAAGCGAAATAAAAACAAAAATTGGATCTTAAAAATGGAAAAGGAAATATATAACAAAATTAAGAATATTGAAAATAGAATTAAAAAAACTCGTGTAAAAGAAATTTAACTATGCAAATCTTTAAAAAATCCAAGTGAAATTTTGATACACAATTCTTCTTTAAAAAAAAATATGATTAAACACCAATCACCCTAAAATTCAAAAACAAAATTTAGAATTTTTTTAAAAATACTAAAATACTACATAAACTTGATAAAAATCGAGATCTAGAAAAAAAAAAGAAAAAAAAAGTGACACGTGATAAAATAAAAAAATATTAAAATTAATAGAAAAACTTATCTTAAACATTTTAAAAGGGAAAAAAAAAAATTATACAAAGTTTTATAAAAACCTAGACAAAATTATAAACCACAATTTGTTAAAAAATGATAAAATACTAAAACAACGGAAAAGTTAAAAAAAAAACGAAAAAAAAAACCAAATTGTAAATACAGTTGAGAAAATATACCTTTGATTGCTCCCTTAAATTCAATACCGCTATTATTTTTTAAAAGTTTGTATACATCTTGACAATTTTTTTTAATTACTTGATATAAATTGTAATTTAGGGTGAAAGAGAGAAATGGTATAATTAGGGTAAATAGAGAAAGAGTAAAAAGTTAGAGAGGAGGAAGATAAACTATTATTAATTTGTTTGTGTAATTGAAAACTTATATAATGAAACTAGTCTTAAACCCGTGCGATGCACGGTTATCTAATGTATTATAATGTATTTTTTTGTATTTGAACGTAGAGTGTTTTATTGATCTAAAAACACTCATAAATTTTTAAAAATTCAACAATACCATTTAAACTTTATCCCCAAAAATATTAATATATGAAACCGAATTTCATTAAATCAGAAAAGATGTAAATTTTTACCTAAAATTATTAATATATGTAAGCGAATTTCATAAAACCAGAAAAGATGTACATTCTTACCAAATAAAAATTGCAAAGAAAAAGGATAATTAGATGATCACAACAATTCTGTCTAATACTCACAATTTTTGACGGAATTTATAACAATTGAATACAAAACTTGTGACAATTGGAGATGGAAAATAAATTAACTTCTTCTCAACGTCCCACAAACAGATTAGTCGTCAGATGCCATAAACCCAATTTTTGTCATGCAAATAAACTAAAATCTGACCAAATCAGCCAAAACAATCCCACAAACTTGACGATCCATAAGTTCTTAAAACACAGTAGAAAGAAGCATCAATTAACAATGATAGAAGAAATATAAATTCTGAAAAAATAAAAGAAATAATTCATAGTATCACAAATCTATACAAATAAATTCACCACTGCAACCTGATTTTAGATCTGAAACCAAAAATGTAAATTGGTAAAAATACAAACCTTGTTGTAACATATTTGACGAAACCGATCACGAAAACCCAATTTTTAAGCAAAAACTCAAAATTTGGTTGGAGAGATGAATTGTATGTGTATTGTGATATAAATAGGATAAGGGAATGTGGAACTGATTATTAAAGAAACAAATTTTAGAAATAGATGAAGAACAATGATAAGAGGAAAAGAAATAATAGGTTTAAAAGGGCAAAAAATATTGAAACACTTCACTCTCATTTTTTTTTTTTTTTTTTATTTGGGAAAGGACGTTTCAGCAAGATTAATAGGGCTTAAATTTTTGTAAAACCAAAAAAAAAAAAAAATTAGAAAAGGACACAACTCTGAGATTATTATTATTATTATTATTATTATTATTATTATTTTTAATCAGGAAAAACAGGAAGTGGACACGTGTCCTTCCAACTTCCTGTTTTAAAATAATAGTATAGATGTAGTGAAACCAAAGAGACACAAATGGAAATTGATACTTGTACTTATCTTTTCTGTGGGGTTTGAATCTTTTAGGAGTTTTTTTTTAAAGAGCAAAAATCAGGAAAATAGGAAGAGGATAAGTGTCCTTTAAATTTCATGTTTTAAAATATTAGTATAGATTTTTTTTTTGATGAAAAAAAATAATTTTCTTGAATAGGCATGATTAGGGGATTGGGATGTAACTTAAAAAAAATTATTTTAAAACAGGAAAAACAAGAGGACAAGTGTCCCTCCAACTTCCTGTTTTAAAATAATAGTATTGATGAGTTACCCCGTAATACGAAGTACTTAATATTATAGTCTTGTTTGTGTCAAAAAAAAAAAAAATTCTAGTCTTGTCAACCAACACCTAATTTAGATTCTCGATTTATGTCCGTTTCACCACTTAAATACACAACCGATAAGAGAGTTGTTCTAATTATTTAATTAGAAGGTTAAAAAAATATTTAGGTAAGACCGCCTAAACATTATACAGAGTATGACCACTTTTTCATATATAAAAAATGTAAGAGTGGGCAATTATACCCGAAAATTCGTCGATTTTCTCCTTCATCCAAACCATATGAAGTGTTTGTTGTCTAGTACTCGTAGTAGAGTACAACTCTATACTAGTACTCAAGAAATAGTGGCCCTAAGCCCATAAGACATCAATTGACCTTGAGTGCTTTGAAATTGCCCTTTTTTTTTTTTTTGACAAGATTGTAATTACCCTTTTATTTATGAAGTTCACTTTGTTTTACCAGAAGTGGGGTAATATATTTGTGTTAGTTTTATTATCCATGATGATGCGGATATATGTATCGAACTTCTGATTAATTCATTGTTCTCTTTTTTCAAATCTTAGCTGATATTAGCGATAAAGATAACTTTAATGGCGTGTTCTATATCAAATGTAGGTGCTAATATGTTTAATGTAAACGACGTTTGTAGTAGGTGGTGATTTTGATGAATGAAGCCTAATTAAACCAAAATTCGATCCATTGACATTACTATGTGTGATTGTGTGAAAGAGTATTTCCCACAAATATGTAAATATCTAAAAATACTACAGAGTACTCGTCAATAATTATACATACTAATATACTATATGTCTATATCTATAAAAAGAGCATATCTTGCACGGGGCACTTAACATTAAGATTGTTTGATACGAAATACTCCGTAATGAATTAATAACTGTAAGCACATTAAATATTGGACATTTTGATAAGTTAAGGGTGCTTTTAAAAACAACCTTTTCCATGTTGTGTAATGGACTAATGGAGCATTTAAGACCGTAGAAATGAAAAGGGCAAAAATAATTGTCCAACCTTAAATTTGAACTTAATGGAGTAAAACTCTATTCACTTCACCTTATCTTTGCTGAATTAAAATTACTTTTGCTAAACTAAAATTATTTTTGTTGAACAAAACTATTAATCGAGAATTCGAGATTAATCCATTTTTTCCTGTATATTATTTTTTGAGGAAAAGCACAAAGGCTATCACTAAAATTGAAAAGAAATTAAGAATTTAAAAGATGTAAGTAGGTTTATCTAAATTTTAAATTAAAAGAGGTTTTAAAAAACGGGGTGCTAAAATATTTCCTTAAAAAAAAAAAAAAAAAACCGGGGTGCTAAAATATCGATGTTAGAAAAACAGACAAGTAATCCCTTCATTAAAGGAGTGAATGGCTAAAGAAACTGCCCCTACACTTTGTCACTTTCATTTGTCAAATATTTTCAACATTATGTAATTATACAATCTACGATTCCTACTTTGTAACCCTTGAACTAGTCTGTAGTCTTGTATGCTCAAAACTGTGAAATGTCCCTACTATCAGTTGTCACCCATTTTTGATGCCTCATTTTGCAACCGAATCCCCCATTACATTTTCTTGTGGACCCGCTATAATCTTGGTCATGTATGCAAATATGCAATCAATCAACCATTCAACCTGTTAAATCATTGAAATTTGAGCAGATAATTTTAAATTCTGCAAGTTTTGATTTTTTTCCATAATAACAAAATTCTGGAAAATCAAGATTTTAATGGAGAATGAAAGCCATGGTAGTAGTAGTAGTAAAAATAATAGAGAGGAAGTTGGAGATGGTGAGAGAATGCTTCATCAAACTCCAACTTGGGCTGTTGCTGGAGTTTGTGCTTTTATTATTCTCATTTCCTTCATTCTGGAAAAGGGTCTTCACAGAATTGGAACGGTTTGTCTTTTTCTCCAAATTTATACTGTTCAATGGTAGTAAAATTATTATTATTATTAATTTTTTTTTTTTTGGTGGTAATTTAAAAAATGGGGAATTTTGTTGATGGGTTTATATTATTTTCCTTCATGTGGGTGTTACAATTTGTATGTTTTGTTAAATTTGTTGAATTAGATTATATATGGTGTTGCACATTAGTCTAATTTCTACTAAAATAAGGGATTTTTTTAGTATTTTTGCTGAAATTGTGGTTGAATTTGATTAGTATTGTTGCTGAAAATCTGAAATTGTGGTTGAATTGGTTGTTCAGTGGTTAACGAAAAAACAGAAGAGGGCACTTTATGAGGCCTTGGACAAGGTTAAAGAGGGTAATTCTTTCTTTTAATCTTTTGTATTGGAGTAAAAATACTTTAATTTTTAATTCGGACAGAAATATACTTGTATATTATAGTAGAGTTTATGATAGTATTTGAATTTCATAAAGTTGTGATTGAGCTATACACTGGGTGATGTTTTTACTAAGGAGCTGTTTAATTATTACAGAGTTGATGGTCATGGGATTCATTTCACTTCTCTTGACATTTAGTCAAGGATACATTGCGAAAATCTGTATCCCTTCAAACTTTGCAGACCATATGTTACCATGTGAACTCCAAAGCCGCGACTCAGGTGAAGAAAATCGAAGGCGGCTGCTCTGGAACAAGCGCCGTGTTTTAGTATCTGGTGGCGTCTCTCATCATTGTCGTAAGGTATGATTGTTAAGTCGTGGTATACTGGTATGTTAATGCTTTTGAAAGTTGATTGATTAACTTTCTTAAGGAAAGATAGTAAGATACTGATGTCATAGCTATTTCTAATGGTGAATTGGTGATTATGGTTTGCTTTGATATATACATTGACTCTATGGCGATTATGATAATTAGAGTGGTTAATTCGAGTGACATGTTGCAGTTACCCAAGTACCCAACTAGGTGCTAGATTGCATTTGTTCAGCAAGCTATTCTTGTCGGTTTATAAAGCCTATTTAAATCCGGGTTTATTTGTAGTTGACTGACCTTTATTTTATTTATATTAAGTATCGTGCGATTTTAGTATGATTTTTTATGTACTCCATACAAGAGTACTTCAATCATGAGTTTACAATTTTAAAATCTGTTTTGTTTTTTGTTTGTATATGTAGAAATTCCAAGTACCTAGGTTCTGTTCTTGAATTTAATAACCTTTAATAAGAGATGAAGTTAATTCATTGTTTCATCTCTTGCTGTCTACAGATAATTGTTAAGTTGTCCCAACTATACTACTACTCGTATAAGACACTTTATAGTTGTTGGTCCATTCCCATACGGGCCATACCCTATCCAGGATCCCGTATTAAATCCTAGTTTATGCCGATTCCTCTCTCTGTTTACAAATGAACATAAAATATTCAAGTACCACTTGTTTCTGGACCAAGGGAGTAACTCACTAGATTTAGCATTTTGTAGCACAACCTTGGATGTATATTTGGACTGCATTTCAAATATGTGCAGTAATTCTGAGTGCTGGTACCATTTCTTGATTGCCTCAGTGATACTACATTACTATGAATCTATGGCACTGGGTGTACTCATCTTAAATAATCTGGCAAAATTTGAAATTTACTTTGAGCTTTTCTGATTACCTTGTTAGACACAATTTGTAATGAGTATTATTTGTTCAATAGTTGCTCTTTCGTTTCATGTTTTCTGTGTTATATCTCGGAAGGGTTCAACAATTGTAGTGATTAGATAGTTATTGAACTATACTTTACCTGTTGATCTCTAGAGTCTTGCCAGTCATTGACACCAGCAGAATAAATTATACTTTGTACAATTTGAACCAACCAACACTACTTAAGAAATAGGCGGGAGGCTTTTATAGAAATGCTACTATTTAATATTATTATGAGACTAAAAGCCAGTATATTCTAGAGATTTAATCTTAATTTGGAACAGTAAGACATATTTTCAGTATGAGCTCATTTGCTGCAGCTTCAGTCTGCTGACTGCACCAATAAGCAAGATTCAATCATCTCAAGTCTAGTAGCTTGTTACTTAAAACTTTTTGTCTTTATCCTTCCTATCATTTGGTTAGGTTACGTAAACTGTCTTTTTCTTTATTACTTCCTATTACTTACTCCAACACTACTCATTTTTCTGCTACCAGGATCAAGTGCCACTTATTACAGTTGATGCTGCTCATCAGCTACACATTCTCATATTCTTTTTAGCTGTCTTTCATGTGCTATACAGTGCAGCAACAATGATGCTTGGAAGGCTGAAGGTAAGTTGACTAATACCAGTCTGTTCCTTGCCAGAAATTTATTTATTTAAATTTTTGGGGTGATTGTGTTATGAATTTGAAGATGAAATCAAAACAGAACACATGATTTTTCTACCCTCATAGCTCTATCCGTAGAGTCTTTGAGCTCGGGTCCTAAACTAAAACTTCATTAATGGAGGTAAGAGAAAATCTCTGAGTTATTACAAGTGTACGAATGAAGAAGAAAGCAAAAAGAAAGAATAAATGTGAAACGCTAGGTAGCAGTAGTATTTATACTACTTTGCTACTTATTACAATGAATATGCTTAAGGTATTTATTACAGCTGGCACTATTGTAACTAATTCTCAACCACCTCGAGCTGACGTGTCAAAAGTGGTTGTGGCATAATTCTCTGAATGTAGGTGCATTATAACTTCAGTAGACCATCATATATTTCACAGATTGTTCATATGCTAGCTGCAAAAGTACCTGTAAAATTGTTTTTTGTGAGGTCTCAATAGTGTCATTACCTAATCAGGAAAGCTCTGCACCAAGCTGTTGTTATTGTTGTTTTTAGGAGAGAACTGGGACTAAAAGGTTGGATTCCAAAACTTAAATTGAAACGACAGTAATAAGCAAGCTAATAGTGATAGATGACCAAAGTCGATGCTTGTATCCATCAACGACGATGATAATGACCTGACTGCAACTGCCAATATAACCAATCAACCCAAGTTACCCAACACTACTCATGAATGAACAGCTCAAACCTTTTTAAAGATGACTAGGGGTTTATGTGGCCAAAATAGGAATTTTTGATACCATGCTATCACGTTTGAACTGTAGTTTGGGGATTAATTTTGGAAAATTTGGAGTGGGTAGATCCATCTGTGCTAGCATGTTTGACCAGCGATTTTGTAATTTCAATGTCCATCGTTAGATCATTTGAATAGAAGTGACGAGGTTCTTGTAGTGCCTTATCGGCTACATCAATGAAATTATGCATGGCGCTGGGTTTTGACTGATGGCCCAGAGTCACTTGTATTCACATGTCCCTGTTCATTATTGGAAATTCCTGCTTCTCAGAAGATTTCCTTTATTCTATGTTTTATTCCTGTGGTTAACTGACTTTTTAACTGTTGATTCTTTTGGAAAAAATCAGGGTAGCTGATCATACTAAATATGCGTCGTTTGTTGATTCTCCCCACTATAACGCTTTTTCTGCAGATAAGAGGCTGGAAAGTATGGGAGTATGAGACATCATCAATTAACTATGAGTTAAGGAACGGTACATTATTTCTTCCCCCTGAGGGATGCATGAACTGATTATTTATTCTTTATTTTCTCTTCTTGTTTCTCCATGACATGTTTATGACTGTGTGTTTTATTGCCAATATGTATTAGATCCTTCAAGATTCAGGCTCACGCATCAGACAACTTTTGTAAGAACACACAACAGCTTTTGGACAAGGATCCCATTCTTCTTTTATGTGGTAAGCAATAGAAACTTTGGATGAATTATTGAAAGAGAGTAGATATCATTTAATGTAAATCTTTCCAGTTTTGATTTAGTGCTTAAGCATATATCATCAGAAAGAGAGGTGAATTAATCTGTCCTTTTAAATGCGCACAAAGGATTTATCAAAATATTACTCCCTCCATTTCAGCTCAGGATAACATTGATAAGGGGCAGAGAGATTAAGGAGGGAGAAAAGTAGATAGGAAAAATGGGTAAATGTAGAAAATTCACTTCATTTGTTACCCTGAGTTGGGATTCTTGGGATGAAGGGAATATATTCTTCAATATTTCTTCCTTCCATGCTGTCAGTCACAACGCGTAAGAGCATTCATGAATCATGATTGAGATCTAGCCTTTTCTGATCCGACGCCTGTGCATGTGGAATACTCTCTAGCCCTTTGCTCCTGAATAATCGGTCACTAGCCTTTGCATAGAGTTAGTTGGACCATTTGTTGAGTTTTATTTTTCCTTTCGTTGTTGTTGTTGTTGTAAATGTAGATCATTATTGTAAATGAAAATGTAATGTAAAAAGAGAGAGTGAGTCCAAAGGAGTGGTAAGTACCAAAAAATATAAAGTATTAGCGGTTCTTTTCTTTAATCAGGTGTTGCAAATCTGGGACGGAGGGAGTAATACAGATTCAAAAGCAAGAGGATGTTAAAGGGTGAAGAAAAGTTGGAAAGTGTTTTTTGAAAGTCAGATGCTTGAATGTTTTCCTCAAGTTTTTTAGCTTATAGAGGATTGTAGTTGCAGAATAATTAAGTGAGATATTCAAAAGGAAGATTAAACTTTAATAGGAGGATTTTGTAAATGTTTGCTTGGCTGAAAGTCGAGGACCTGTTATGCTCCTCTTGTTCATCGTATTATTGCTACATTAATCAGCTGTTTACCACAAGGTCATACCTTAACTACTAGCACTGTAATTTCTCCTTTCATAATCTTGCAGGGATGTTTTTTTCGCCAATTCTACAGATCAGTTACTAGGGCTGATTACATGACATTAAGAAATGGATTCATAACCGTGAGTGCCTCTTAATATTTTATTGATTGGAGCTGTTTTACTCTCATTCATATATAATCTTCCTTACCTAATTCTGATTTCTGCTTGGTATGGCTTTTAGGCTCATATAGCTCCAGGATGCCAATTCAACTTCCAGAAGTATATCAAAAAGTCATTGGAAGATGATTTTATAGTGGTTGTTGGTGTCAGGTGAAGTTTTACATATGGAGTAGTTGATATGTGTTCTACAAATTTAAACCTTCATTCATCATTTAATGTCAAATTTAAATCTTTTAACATTTCCTTAAAATTTATGTTATTTGCAGTCCAGTTTTATGGGCATCTTTTGTGATTTTCTTGCTTCTAAATGTCAAAGGTGAGCCACTATTCTGTATTCGATTCTCCATGTATCCTGTCTAGAAGCCACAATTCAAGGACGGAGCTACTATCGATTTTTTATCTGCTTACTGATTACTCTTCTTCCACTGGTGCTGTTGCATTTCCAGGATGGCACACACTTTTCTGGGCTTCTATACTGCCGCTGATGGTAAGACATTGTTTTCAGAAATGAATTGTGAAATGGTACCAGAGGAACTTTCTAAGACTACAGTTTGCATTAGGTTATATTAGCTGTTGGAACAAAGCTGCAAGCCATTCTGACAAGGATGGCTTTGGAAATCACAGAGAGGCATGCTGTGGTCCAAGGGATTCCTCTTGTGCAAGGTTCAGATGAATACTTTTGGTTCTCGCGGCCTCAATTCATTCTTCATCTCCTCCATTTTGCTCTGTTTCAGGTATAAACTATGTCTTAGTGTTTTATCACACACGTATCCTACAAAGCATATTGAATTTTGCTTTTCAATGGAAGTCTTTATTACAAAAATTTCAGATGTCATTGTCGATGATGACATTATTATACATCATCATCTCAAAATGTAGGCTGAACTTCAGGGTATGCATGTTCATTCGATCAAAAGACTCTCCTGTCTTTTGTCTCACATTTTCTGTAGTGTGGATTCAATCAATCAATCAAAGCCTTAATCCCATAAGTGGATTATTATTGGATTTTTTCTTTTTTTTTTGAGAAGAGGATTATTATTGGATTGGCAAATACAAATTCACTGCATTACTGTTGACAAGAGTAATGTGCCAAATGGGTTGGTTTAATTTTTCGGGTTTGAAGTGTATATGTGTATGATGTATATGGATTTGCATGATGATGAAGCTTTGGATCGTAAGGGATGGAGGAGGAAGATTTATGTCGATGACTACACGGAATAATCAAATTTAGTTCATGTAGCCGACCCCACTTATGAGATTAAGGCTTTGATTGATTGATTGAAGTGTATATGTGTACCAATTTTAAATGTGGCTTTCAAGTTCTTGAGTATAAATTTGCAGGGTTTGGGTGTTGAGTCGTTTCATGCTCAAAATTTTTGCCAGTGGGTTGAATTTGGTTCAGGTTGGTCAATAACTTTTCACAGGTTTTCAAGATTTAAAGTTAGTTTTGGGTGGGTTGCTGGCAGGCCAGTGTTCGACAGTTCTAAATAAGACAAGAGGCTTGTGCATTGCTTAGTACTTGATATAGCTTTGTAATATCAAGTTATGGTAGATTATTTTCTTTAGCATTGCTTCTTAACATACGATTTTATAAATCATAAATTGCTACTTTAAAGCTGTTGAGCATTTAAAATATGTTTTTGCATGGAAACTGTTTATCTGACGAGGACATATTCTGCCTTTTGGTTTCATATTCTGCAGAATGCCTTCCAGATAACATACTTCTTGTGGATACTGGTATTAATTTAACATCCTTTGAAATACTAGTATACTACTCGACCCAAATTCACCAAATTTCAAAAGATCATAATGAAATACTGATTTTTTTTTCCCCTTACTTTTTACTTTGGTTGTAGTATGAATTCGGATTGAAGTCCTGTTTCCATGATAGACACATCTTTGTGCTTATTAAAATAATTATCGGGTAATGTCTCCATAAATTCTGGTAACTCCGCATGAAAATCATAATTTGTAATTTGTGTTACATCATCTTCTCTCTTTGGATTAATGGAGTATAACTTGGGATTACAGGATTGGTGCTATGGTTCTTTGCAGTTATAGTACTCTTCCACTCTATGCTCTTGTGACCCAGGTATCATCATACTTTCTTTTGCTTACCACTTCCTCTTGAACAACCAAAAAACAAAGCTTTAAGTCACTTAAGCTTTGTTGTAATCTAAATCTAACACAAATGAGCCCGAGAGTTAGTGTGACTATGATTGATTGATTTTTGACAAGATTATGTACAATAGGAGTATGATCCGATTTAATTAGACCCAAACCTTACAACCTGTAATGATTTATTACCTACATGTGACTCAAATTCGATACGAATAATTGGTTTTCCTTCTCTATTCAAGGTTTCTCTACTCTACATTACTCTTTATTTCATCCTAAAATGTCTAGTTTCACCCATCAAAAATTTTGTTAAGACCTGACAATTGGACATACCTTTATCTTTAATTTACATTAGTTGTCAGTTCTTAGTAGCTATCCCCCAGTCTGAAAATCATAGTTGATGTTAGATTTTAGAACAGCCTCAAGAATGAAACTTGGTGATAAAAACTTTGGCAGATGGGATCAAACTTGAAGAAGTCCATCTTTGATGAGCTAACATCCAAAGCTCTTACGAAATGGCACATGGGAGTTAAGAGGAAGCAAGAGGAGACCACAGAGAAGTCTCCTTCTACCCAAACCCTGGGAGGAAGCTCCAAGAGCTTAAGGAATTCCAAGAGGCGGCACTCATCTGGCCCCACCCTACACCGATTCATGACAACAGGCCACTCAACGCATTTGCCATCCTATGTTGAGCTTCATGTGACGGATAGTGAAGGTGATGAGATAAGTAAGGTTGATGATAATCACGGGGAGAGTGAAATGGCTTTATTGTCTACTAGGAAGGAAATTAAGCAGGGAGACGACCTGTTTGACAAGCCCAGCCCGAATTGACAGTAGCGGTGAAGTTAGTTGATTGCTACCCATGTAAACAGCCTACACAGGTATTATAGACTAATTTTTCCTTAATTTTGATAGTTTGGTTTTATTAAGGCCAAATACAAATGTAATGCTTAAGAGGTTTGTTTATTAGTAATTTAGTAGGGCACTTCAGTCTTTACTCTTCAGAAAGGTGAAAGGAAGAACATGGATTGTACTAGCGTTTCTTGTACATCTTACATACTATTGTTTACATAATGAGGCAGTACATAGTTGCATTCCCTTGCAATATATTCACTCTGCTTTTTTTTTTTTTTTTTTTTTTTTTGGACGTGAAAGTTTGATGGTGGAGTATAATTTGACACTGTAACCTAAAATTTTTATCTATTGTACCACTTTGAAAACTTGCAGAGTGGCAGTGGTAATAGAATTCTCTCTTGTAAGAGATCTTATTTTATGAACAGTATATATACTACTTGTATGATATTGTAGAGTAAGATGCTAAATTAAGGTAAGAAATCAGCTTCTTGCTGTTGAAACACCACAGATACACCGGTCTTGCAGGTCTGGCACTGGTTAACAACAACCAGCGTTTGACGGCAGGAAGGGCAGCTGGAGGAATGGGACCCGATCAACCACGTGTCAATACATTCAACATGGAACACGTGGGAACATCCTGGGAATTCCCTAACCTCCTCTCCTTCCACAAACTCAGCCAAACAAATCACACACTCTGATGCTGCTTTATCATTCTCACTTGTAGCCGCATCAGCAGCAGCTGTCAGACTGCCAGACTCAAAGACCTTTCTAGGGAGCGAGTCAATGATCTCCCTCTTCAAGCATTCGTTGGGAACCACTTCATCAGTAGTTCCCCGCGTAGTAGGAGGCTGAGGGCAGGGCCACACGCAGCGGGTTACTGCCATGAGTCCCATTACACAAATGAGGGCACAGAGAATGCAGGTTATGATGATCAGCATGTTCGAGTTTACTGAGAATGCTGCTTTTGCTGTATTGAGGTGTGAGAATTTTCTATTGATGTTAATTTCCATAAATTGCAAGGCGATACTTTGGAGCAATAACTGTATGTCTATATATAGGAGTAGGGCAGTGGATCAAGTGAAGTTAGCTTTTTTGAGGATTTTTGAAAGGAAAATAGAAAAATAAAAACATTTGCATCCTAATAATTGTGAATTTAGTCAACTTTTAGAAAAAAAAACAAAGTAACCCCTATAACACTGATCGAGTATCCTATAATACCGATCGAGCAAAATTTAAAACATTGACGAAGTAACCCCTGTAACATTGACTGAGTAACCTCTATAACATTAACGAATTAATCCCTATAATGAATGGCCACACCGTTATAAAAACCAACAATTTTTTTATTTTATTTATTTATTCAAGTTTATTACTTAAACTCTTACACTCTATACTTTGCTAGGAGCAAGGACTGTCTAGGTTATTAAATGTAGTATAGAATATTCATATATACTCCTATGTTCTTATAAATTACTTGCTTTTGTACTTTAACAATTTTTCAGATTATTCTTCGGTAATTGACTATGTTTTGTGATTTATATGTAGCAAAATTTTAGTTACATAAAATTTTGTTAGATTCATTTCAAAATATTTTGTTGAATATCAACTTTCTATAATTTTTACTTAACTTATATGCCAATATATATTTTTTAATGAGAATGCTTCTAAAAAAAGATAAGTAATTTTTTTTTTTTTAAATTTTCATTTTGGTAAGGTATCAATGATACGGGTAACACAAATTCTCCAAAAAGGCGGGTGTGCGTTAATTTATTGTAAGACGAGTTAAAGTTATCTTAAAAATATTTAAAGTTTCTAATAATAAATTTCATCTTACGAAAAAAAAAAAACTTATAATGTATTAGATTAATCATATTAGCCTTTATAGTATGTAATCATGAATTTATAAGAAATTACACATTAAAATAAAATTCAAACCAACGACAAATTAAAAGTTATCCTTTAATGGGTTAAAGTTACCATAAAAATCCATAGTAATTGTTTCCTTCAAAATATTGTATTAATGAGATGCAAAATTTGGGTTAGACATTTTGGTTTTTTTGTTTTTTTTTGGGTAAAGTTAGACATTTTTTTGCCATGTGCATTCTATGTGTGATGTGGTTAAGAAGTCCTTAGTCTTAGACAGGACAAGAACCGGTAATGATGAAAAGGATTAAAGTGGGAAACAACATTGAAGTGATAAACATGTTTTTCTCTTTTGTATCCTTTGTAATGAAGAAATTGTATAGAGTATTTTACTTTGGAAAACAAATAGATGGGAGCATGGGACAATTGAAAATTGCAAATTAAGCTAAATTTTTTTTGTACTTTTTCTGTCTATTTTCTTAAGTTTAACATTTCGTCTTTGTCGTCTGTCATGGTTTTTTAAAATGCAATAATATTTCTTTCTCCTATTATGTGAACATAAATTATTTCACTCTTATATCAAAACCATGTTTTCATAGGAGGACAATATATACACCAAGTGAGTAGTACTTTGTAAGTGATAATATCGTCCACCAACTCATATTAAGTTGGGAGCAGTTTTCATCTTTGATTTTCAACCTACCCTTTTCTTTCTTTTTTTAGGTATTTTTGACTGAATACCACTTTTGGTCTTTTATGTTTCATCACTTCACACGAGAGACACGTCCTCCATGTTCGTCCATATTCAATTTATATGAAATGGTATTATCGTTGTCAACTTTCATCCACTTTTCTCAATAATAATTGTAATAATAATCAAAAGTAAGATTGAGAGCAAAAAGAAAACAGAGAAAGAGGTAAGAATATCCCATGCATGAAATTTTCACGTCATTAAACATAATCTAACGCAGCCTCATAATTCTCATGTCATGCAATGATGCAACTCTCATATAGGTGCATATGTGCTCGTACTCTACGGTCTTGAGAGAAAATTAGTCTAACTTTACATATCTTTCCGTTCTTAATATATTGTGCTCATACTACATCTTCAATAATTAAAAAGAGCATGACATTATTACTGTATGAGTAGAAGCATATTAATTTGCATTAACAGAACCTTTTTTTAAAATGCGACAGTACTCCTCAACAATAAGAACAATAATTAATTTAGATGTTTTCTGTCCGAAATATTAGCTGTCCAAATTCGGTTAGATTGATTTGGGTTAGACCAAGTTAAAATGCCTGAAATATTAGCTGTGATCAAGATGAACAATACGAGTCACAAGTGATTGCTTCTTAAAAGTTAAATTAACAAACTATCGTTCCCAAAACTGCAAGCATAAAATGAAGTTACTTTTTACCAGGTTTAAAGATCATAGCATGTTTTCTCCCGGTGTTACTCGACACCTTGTCCATGTATTTTACAAATTAAATACATACATAATTTCCCGCCAAAAGATCACAAGATAGTATAATACTCGTAATAATTTGGTAATAATTTGGGGCAAAGTAAACATCATAAACATGTGTCCATAGTTCATAAAAAAAAAAAGCTCTACGATTCAAATTCAACCAGATATAAAGTGCAGGGCTTCAAAATATGGAAGCAGACTAATCCTAGTGCGCGAACTCCCTCAATAATAACAGTAACACTTCCCAGGTGTCCTAGAAATGGCTTCAGATGACTCAAGAGCAAAGCAATAGGCACTACTCTGTATCATGTAAGTGGGAAACAATCAAAGTGGCAAACTGGCCGCCATTGGTCCCTATTATTTACCAGGTTACGTAATTAAATGTCTTTCAAGCCCCCCTCCAACGATTCAACGAAACTACACATATGCAGATGCACCAAGGGAGAAAATCCCTTTAGAAAACTACCCCCAGTACCTCTCTTCCACACCACTATCGCCATCAGAAAGGAGCAAAGCGTCTCCATGTTGCCCAAACAGCATGTACATGACAACATGCACTCAAGAATCTAGTATACTTACTACACTTACCAGAACATAAAGGCCAGTTTGACTACTTGTACCAACAACTCAACCAAGGTCTTACGTAGTTTTCACCTGTATTCTGTGGACACTAATGACAGCAACAGGCAACAAGTATAAACCACAAGAAGTCTTACAATCTCAGGAATACATGATAAAATCAGAAAAATAAATAACAAAGCACGCCATCACAAATTCACAACATAGCCAAAGGTTAAACAAGAAAACTAGACACAGTTTTTCACAAAAGTGAGGATAATTCATAATTTCAAATGCAAAGCATAAAGCAGCTACCTCTAACAAAATTCCTACAAAAAAACAAAAAAACAAAAAAAAAAAAAAAAAAAAAATCTGCCTACCAGACCCATATCCTAGTAGCAATAGATGCTTGTATCAAGCCCACACCACAACCCCCAAATCCGAATAAATATTAGAATTTAAAAAAGAAAAAAAAAACCCAACCCTTGGCCTTCTTATCGATACCTAGCAGTTCAACATCACCCCCTAATTAAATCCATTGTTCGCAATCAGACGAGAATACCAACTTCTTCAAAGGATGAGGTTAACAGATGTCCAGCAGATTAGCAACAGCAGCATACTCCTTTTGAAGGCCTCCTACCCCCTGACATACTATACTAGTTGTACAAAGATTAACATAGACATATTATCAGCCAAAATATTAGTAGGTTATTTTTAGAAAATTTTCAACACTAGAAATTCTAGAAGGAGATAGAAGGCTGATGATATTATCAGTCAAATATCAATAGATCAACAAGAACAAAAAAGGTTCTGTAACATCAGGACATTCATCAAGGATTATAATCACACACATATGAAGGTAAAATAAGAAAATGCCATCTAATATTAATAACTTGGTAGACTAGCCCCACAACAAAAGAACAGTTGAATAAAACCCTATACAAGTAATAGAAACCAGTCACGAAGTAACATATAATAACAAGCAAGAAGGAAAACAAGGCACAGAATAAATTAGCAAATAACAATTTTTGATGTTTCACCACACTCAAAAAGGCACAAGGTGAGATCTCTAGGTCACCACAAAGTCAACAAGTGAGATAAGGATCAGGAACAAAGATCAAGGAGAGTGAGTAGTAAAACAGCTTATTGATGGACTATATACTACGCACAACATGCAAAAATCATGTAGTAGTTCATGGCCTAAAAAACTATCACGGTAACTGGAACATGTCAGTGTGTGTGCTCGTGTACGTGTATACAGTATGCCCATTAACTCAATCAAATGATTTCCACTTGATATTTTAAAAGTGTAATCAGATCGTCAATGGGGGAAAATTTTAGAAATAGGCAGGTGATTGGCATAAGAAAATGAGAAGGCAGAAAAACCAATCAAAAGATCAATGCTCGTATTTCATCAATTATACCTACAAAATCTACATACCAGACAAAAGAACATCTAGAATTTGAAGCTGAAGGCTCACTTTGACAACAAAAGAAAGCAATGAACACACATAACAATATCAACCATTGCATGTACACTTGTACATGGTTCAGCTTGATACTATGTAAGGAAGGTGATTGGAGGATTACAAACTAGGCCAGTTTATCTAGAACACCTATGACAATGAAATTAAGGCTATAAGAAAAACAGGCCACCTAAGTGACAAACAAAGAAAAGCCTTAGTTCTGTCACATCATGCTATGCCTACCAACAAAGATGAATTCACAAGGAAAGGACATTCCAAGAGCACAATATATGCTATGACAGCAATATGACTCATAACACCCTCCTGCAAAATGAAAGCTACACAGCCCTCAGAACTATTCAAGGTTAACCTGATAATTACGGAATCCAGATTCAATTTCCATACAAATATGAGACAACATGCTGTTCCATACCCTTAATATGAACATTAAATGATGTAGTTCTTTAAACATCTCATTCTCCCTTTCATCGATGACTCTAATGTACCTTACCTATCCTTATAATACTTCTCTAAATCTCAAGTTTCTCAACCACACAAGTCTATACCAAAATTATCACTGGTTGTCTATCCTAATAGTATATCTTCTCTAGGTATCACCAATACCCAGGGAATGATCAAACCTCAAAGGGTATAACTTCTGTAGAGACTTCTACTAAAATTAATGAAGCATAACAGTGGAATTATAACATAATCTGAGCTATCATAGTACGTCTAGAGTGGTGTAGAATCGGACTAATTATCAATAACTAGAAGTAGAATTTATGAAGTCACACAATTCATTGGATCATCCAAAAAGCAGCAACATTCTCCCTTGCAGAATCCAAGCATACAACCACAAGGAATTGCTATTTAACCTGCCAATAACAGCTCAATAATTACATTAGCAATGTCACCTGGCATGTGAAAAAATCAATGGCTTGGGTAGATTTATAAATGTCAAGTAATCAAAAACCCCCAATAGGAGCCTTTTCCATCCTGCAGGAACAGCTACCTGATAGGGCATGAGAGGCTCAGAACATACCAGCAGTGAGCAGCATGGTCAACAAGAAAACTTCCACCACAGTGAGGAACACGTGGTAATCACTTGAAAAAAATTAGGATATTAAGAAAATGTATGAAGATGAAACATTATAGTTGACAAAAAAAAAATACAAAACAGGATCAGCAAGTCTTATCCAGGTAACATATTAGCTATCTTGACAGCAAAAATAATATCAAACAAAAATAGAAGCAGATCCATGAATGCCATGAAATCCCAGTACAGAGAAGTCCTGCATAAGAAAACGTAAAAATAGATGAACTTCAGAGTTGCTAGTATAATAGAGGCTGGAGGAGCTCAACTTGTATCCCATGTCTCTGCAAATGTCATAACAGTACAGCAAGGTTAAAGAGGTGAGTCCTAAACTTCCAACAAGTCATGGCAATATGTAAGAAATCAGGTTCACAAGAGCTCCAAGAAACATGATGCCTGTCAAGAATATTACAACAATAACAATGACAAAGGTTAGCAAACAAAAATATGGAAACAAGCCAAAAGATACAGCAGCATGGACACATTCTATGAAAAAACTTCCCACCAAGTTAATATGATACTAGTACAAAAGAAGCGTATAGATCTACCAGAAGCAGAAATGGACACCGACAGACAGCAGAAGCTGAGAACTGCACACCAAACTTCATGACAAACCACAGTGAAGAATTGACAAGGATAAGATGTCAAAAAATAGAGAAAATTAAATTGAAAGGATTCATAAAACAAACTCACAATCCTCTCTTCAACACTATCATCTTAACTACCAAGTCAAAGTTTCCTAAAATATCTGCCTAGTTCCTTCCACAATACTTAACAGATCAAATTCCTCAACCTACTGTGATACTGTCTGTCTAGTCACTACACTTAAATTAGCACGAGTTTCATGAAAAAACGAGGGCCTCTATGGCCCTCTCCTCAAACTGCTCTCTCTAAAGAACTTCATCTCCTGTAATGGATGATAATAAACAAACTGCTGTCCAACTCATTGAAGAGTTAAAAACGATACTGTAATACTTCAGCCTGATTTCAATTCACGGCATCTTAATTAAAAGACATAAATTTCAGCACAGTATAAATCTTCCAACACTCAATATTTACAAGGTATATGACAATGCTATGGACAAATCTATCTTACATTTTACAAATCCAAAGAAGCTGAGATATTATTCAGCTAGAAAGCTATTGCAGAGAGGATTAGTTGCAGGAAACAAATTCTATAGTTGTCAGCCCAATATAGTAAAAGATAGCTAAGCAAAACATAATTAGCTGTAAATTGAACAATATAAGATAAGTATCAATACCTCATTGCATTTAAGCAGTAAGCCAAAACCAGAATTATTTCATCTCTGCCATGAACTTCTCATACTCCATATCTACTCCCTGGGTTGACTGTTCTGAAGCTGATACAGGTGGTGCTGGAGGATTTGAAGCCCATGGGACATTCTGCATGTTTTGTGGCTGATCAGCAGGAGGTGGGGGAGGAGGTGCTCCATAATAAGGTGCATAGCCATAAGAAGGTAAGTAGGCAGGTGGTGCAGGCGGTGCCAAAGTAGCTGCTGAACCATATACACTAGATGTAGGGGGTTGACCAGATGTGCTACTCTGAGATTGCACACCAGGCGGGAAATTTTGGTGTGCATCACCAGGAGGCACAGTTTGTGTGGAAGTGCTACTTGGAACAGACGGAGGAGGATACTGAACACCATAAGGAGACACAGACTGATTCTGCATAGGAGGATAATAACTTGATCCAGGTGGTGGAGGGGGATAGGAAGCATAAGGAGGGGGAGGGACAGGTGGCCCCCAAGGGACAGGAGTACCGTAGCTCCCAGGAGCAGAGCTACTCAGAGGCCCACCAGATGTGAATTGCTGAGACGGAAAAGCGCCTGGAGCTTGATTTGCAGCTGGATATGGTGGCATTGCTGGAGCAGCAGGAGGCTGGGGAGCGGTGGGTTGAGGAGGTTTCCCAGCAACTCTAACTGCAATAGTCCGGCCATCTAAACGATAGCCATTCATACCGTTAATGGCAGCATTGGCCTGTTCAACACTGGAATACTTCACAAAACCATACCCTTTACTCAACTGAGTAACACGGTCCTTTATAACCTTAGCCATCACAATCTCACCAAAAGGAGTAAATAGGCGTATCAAGCCATCGTCATCAAGCGTAGGTGGCAAGTAGCCAATATACAAGTTGGTATCATCATAATCTTTAGGTTTACTAGGATTAGAGCCCAAACCCGCATGTGCGCTACTGGCATTACTGCTACTCTGCCAAGGTGGATTGCTTCCAGCACCACCAGACCCAACAGGGGACGAAGAATCTTCAGCTTTGGCCAAAGAATCAGGGACTGTACCTCCTAACTCTGCCAAAAAGTTGCGGTACTCATCATCCATCTTCTTCCCAGTTGTCCCCTTAACTGGACAATCAATAGTTGGATGTCCACCATCACCACAAATTTTACACAGCACATCACTCTTAAAGGTTGAAGTCCTCGAAGGACACGCATACTGTCGGTGACCAGGCTCACCACAAAGCCTACAAAACTCTTCATCTCTAATAGTCCCATTCAAAGCAGCAAGCTCCCTTAACTGCTGCCTCTTATGCTCATTAAGCACTTCATCCACCGGCTGCAATAGCTTCTCCACCATAGCAGCAGCAGCCTCAAGTGATTCAGGCGTATCAGCCTCAACCAAAACATGTAAATCCTCATTCTCCGAAGGATCAGGTTTCAAATTCTGCTTCTGTTGCAACCTCCCTTCTTTAACAGAACCCTTACCCCGAATCACAATTTTCGCCCCTGTCTCCTTCTCCATCCGTTTCTGAGTATTCCCTCTCGGTCCAATAATCAAACCAATGAAATTATAACCAGGGAACTCCTTCTGAGGAATATAAAGCTTCTTATGAAGCTTGGGAGGCCGGTAATCAGCTGGAGGCTTAAAAGCCGGGTTTTTCTTAATAATCTGCGATATAATCTCCTGTCTCTCTCTATTCAATTTCTCACGAGCACGATACTCCCTAGTATTAATTCTAATTCCCATATTATCGTAAACTGGTTCGGGAGACGGGGATCTAGCCCCTTCAGGTCTATCATCTAAAGGCAATCCAGATTGCAATTTCCTACTAATTTCAAGAAGTCTACTATTAAGAGATTGAACTTCAGGGTCAAATTCAATACCTCCCATGAAATCAGGCAACTGATACGCCGGCTTCGGCTCGTCATCCGCCCAACGCGATTTCCTTTTTCTTCCGGCACCATCTCCGGCAGCAGCGGCAGCAGCTCCATCATCCGAAGACGGCGGCGGGTCCCACCTACTCCGGCGTTTTCGACGGCTAGTCGTCTCCTCTTCGCCGCCAGATTGATCTCTGTCGGCCGTAGTAGTCCCACTTTGGGTTTTCGGCAAAGATTCACTCACCCCATTTCCATTCTGGTGATTGTTGTTGTTATTGTTCTGAAACAGCGAAGAATCTAGGGTTTGATGGTCAGATTGAGTGGGAGCTAGGGTTAGGGTTTGGTCGTTGAGTTCTTGGTAAGAAGCCATGGTTTGGTGAGGAGGTTGAGAAGAGTAGGAATCTAAAGATTGGGGTAAAGATTCAGAGAGATTTTGAGCTTCCATTGATGAAGATTAATGGCGTGAATCGAAGAGATTGAGTAGAGAGGATCCAGAAAAAAAGAGGGAAAAGTGAAGAAGAAATGAGAGAGAGTTTGTTGGTTTGTTTGAAGTGAAAGTGAATGGAGTGTATTCGATTGAAGAATTTAGGGTTGGATTAAAAAACAGTTGTCAACTTTAAGGCGGCATATCCAATTACTTTTCGGATATCCAAGATATCTTGCTTTGGGCTATACGGGTTAACGGGTACCCATAATAGGATTTCTTTACTCCGTACTTCTATAGTATTCGTGAAATATGGCATATATTTTATACTTCTGTATAAACAATTTAAGTTCAGCGGAAATAATTTCAGTTTTGTAAAAATAATTGATATGCTTGACTTTTTTGATCAATCATAAACTCCCTCAAAAAAAAAATATATATAATGTTAATAAGCTGTTGATTTATTTTAATTTATATTATTGGAATATTAAGTATTAATAATGGAGGGAGTAGTAGATAACGAAAAAGGCTTCTTTAGATCACAACTTCGAAAAAGTTAACCCAACTTGGTAGTGCTTCAGCCAGGAAAAAAAAACCGAAAGGGTAGAGAATCCTTGCCAACTAATGCACCTAGAGGGATTGATATCATGATCTTTACCAATAGATCAAGTACTACTTGGTGTGTATTAGGAACTGAGTGTTTAGAGTTAGATTCACGTGATTATAAGTTATGTTTATTTTATTCGACTCATTTAGACTTATCTTTAATAATTTAACTTGTATATATTTTCATTATTTGAACTTATGGGCAATTATACAATTTAAAGTCATTCAAACTTATTTTCAATATAACATCACTTATTTGTGAGTGTGAATCAGGTCGTGATACTCGATTCTTGTGAAATCAAGATAAATCAAATTCCATATTGTACCTCTTCTTCTCTCTCATAGTCTCAATGTAAGTATATTTGTGAAAGAGCTTGATGACACAAATGGGATGCATCTTTTGGAAGGTCAAGAACAAACGTGCACCTATGCTGACTAAAAAAAAAAAACATGTATGAATGAATGAAATTTTTGTAAGGCAAGAGATAGGTCAAAGCTGAAGAGTGAAAAGTAAAGGAAACTTCATGTCTTTGAACATTCAAAGTAACCTCTTCCTTCTTGATTTATGTGAGGTGTTTCAAGAAACTAACATGGTCTTAGGATTCAAAAGGTTTAAGTAAAAGCTAACCATTTCTCCATATTGTAACCAGTAAACAATGGCAATGGATAAAGAGAAACAAATTAGACAATCAAATAAACTAACGATAGAAATTACACATTATACTACCAATAAACAGAACAAAACTGCAAATCCAATCGCCGAGAACTATTGTTTTTAGAAGAAGGGGTGATTGGAGTAGTGTAATCCCCCACAGTAACCTTTTCCTCTAACTGATGTAGCAGCATCAAATTTGTATTGCAAATAATGTTAGGCTCTGCTTTCTTCTCTCTCTCTCGGTTGATCAGACTCGTCATCACTGACTTCTTCCAGGCGTCTACTTCAACGCCTTAAGCAATGAGCAAATCAAAACTCTGAATATTACATAACTCACATATCTTTCTCAGCTTCAGCTTGCCTTGCTCCCACGTTGAAGAACTCGCTGATAACTTCTAGGGGCATGCCCTTTGTTTCGGGTACCTTCATGTAAACAAAGAACCAAGAAATGGTGCAAACTATGGCATAGATGCCAAACACTCCTGCAAGGCCTATAGAGGAGAGCAAACCAGGGAGAGAGTATGTGACAATGATGTCTCCAAACCAGAAGGTAAGAGAGCATATGGCAATGCAAATCCCACGGACTCGAGTAGGGAAGATTTCGGAGCACAGGATGTTGGGGATAGGACCAAATCCCATGACAAAGCAGCAGAAGTAGACAACAACACTAATAGTAGATAATGTTGCGTGTAAGACAGTTCCCATTTCGATAACATTGGAAAGGACTAGTACAATCAGTGATCCAATCAAGACAGGGAGTGTATTTAACAGAAGAAACCTGCAGAGTGAAAAAACATGTTTATATACTACATATTAATCATGTGGCACATTCTACTGCAGAAGAGAGTAATGAAGGTGTTAAAAACATGAAGTGGTGATGATGCAATTGTGCAAGTTTGTTACCTTCTTCCAGAAATATCCATCAACCTCATAGCAAGGCCTATACTAGGAAGCATCAACAATGTTGTCAAACCACTAATCAGGAGTGAAGCGGAGTCCGAACCAATCCCCAATCTTGATAGGAGAACATCCACTCCTGCTTGTGAGAGAATCTGAGGGGTGTAGTAGAGAACTCCATTGATCCCAGAGAACTGAATTCAGAACAAAAAAAAAAAAAAAAAAAAAATTATGTCAGACAAATCATATAAGCAGGAGTACGAGAATATAGTCAAGCCTACTGCCTACATCCCCTTAACTACGAAGGGAAACATGATAACTGAAGATGAAACAGAATTTGTGGTGGGGGGGAGGGGTGGGGGGGAGATGAAACAGCCTAGGAAGTAAATCGTAGCTACCAAAAAGCAGACTGATCAGAAAATTCAAATCCTGGATATAAAAGAATCGAGTTTCTGAGTTTTTTTGAGTTTTAACTACTGTAAATTCAAATCCTGATCTTCAAAAAATCCTGTTTACCTGCTGAAGTATCTGCATTCCCATACCAACAATCAATGCTCGCTTAACTCCTGGTTCGAGAAGCTCTCTCCAGCTCTGCCCTTTAGTAGCAGCTGCTGAAGGCTGTACATTACCATCCTCAAAGGGAGACTCTCCCTTGAAATCTTTGATGTTGAGGGTGGACTGACTCACAAGACCAGCAGCCTGGATAAGCTGACCATCAAGAAGATCAGATGGAGGCAGTGAAACGACCGATCCGCGCATAGATCCACGCATAGACCCACGCATAGACCCCATGCCAACTTCTTGGTGAAGATAAACCCTTTTCAATTCGCCTGTTCCATCTTGTGCTTTCTTGTATGCAAGCTGCCAACCTCCACCGATACCTGTCAAAGAAGAATGTAAACATGAGGTTGGATATAGCTCATATAAATAGTAACAGACTAACAGGAAACACCATAAAAGGAATGGGAAAGAAAAAAATTCAGTCAGAGAAGAAAGGCTCAATACCCCCTCCAAGTCTCTCCTCACTTTAAAGGGTTTAGGTAGAAGGTCACACAATTTGAACCTCGCATTTCCCTTTAATTCTATCAAACTAAATTATTTAGTTGAGGTAATATGATCTGCTTTCCTCCGATTCCCTCTAAGCCGAGTATTCAGATATAGTAAGAGAAAGTAGAATTTCATAGTGATTACATAACCATCGTCAAAATCATCTTTTTCAAAAAGATCTCTTAGAGTGGAAAGAGCAAATTTTTCAAAGGATGCAGTAAAAACCATATTTACGTCATAGTACTTTAAAAATTAACTTTAAATGTAAGAATTATCATCATCTGAATTGATACCTGTACTGTTGACTAATTCACCACTTTGCATCAGCATGCTGCCATTTGACGGAGGAGCTACACCAGAGGCATGAGGTGAAAGCAGTGGACTCCTCAGATTATCATCAGAGTCATCATGGCCAACATCAGAAGAGGTATCCTCACCTCGGCTCTCAACCTCCCAATTTTCATCTCTACCATTATCATCAGCAGCAGTATTGAACATGCTCCCAAAGTTTGGGAAAATTGCACTCCTCATGCTTCCTGTCTGGGGCAGCTTCTCGTGTACACTTCCAAACAAAGTGACAAGAGGATCCATCATGTTCGCCATGCTTCCCTGGTTGGCCATGCTTCCATAACGAGAAACCATGCCAAGCGTGCTTTGTCCTGTGACTGGTTTGGCAATCCAAGATTGGCCATGCTCAGCACCGTATAGTTTGATTTGATCCTTATCTGTGGTAGCTTCCTCATCATTTGCTGGGCCCATCACATACTCTTCAATGGAAGTATCCACTCCAGTTCCAAGTCCTTCTATAAGCAGCGCCAACTCACCTACAAGATGATTGAATAATACAAAATTGATATTGAGTGAATTAATTGGACACAAAAGCATCAGTGTGTATTCTCAATTTTTTATACAACCAGGAAGAAGACAACTATGAAGATCACAAATAAACATTGAATGCTAACTAACTAATGCCACTCATGCGAGCACAAAATCCTATATGGCCCTGTACTACTGTACTAGCATTAAAGATCCATAGATCAGGTATATTTCCCTAGATAATTTCTCACGTTTTTGTTGAGTTGATGGCTACAATGAGTTTGTAGTAGCTGGTTATTATACTTTATTGCTCCCTCAAGTTGTATACACTCGGCCTTTTCTATTTCTTCTCCCTCATCATGTCAATTCATCGACACAAACAATAGCTCCATCTAGTAGTTGACACTCAGCTTCTCACTCTTTCTTTTCCTATTTTATGTCAAATATCTATCAACAATAACGTATACTTTTGCTTCACTGTGTCCCAGCATCAGAATGGCGGGGATTGTGGTAGCAACAAAGCCCAAATCAATGAGCACCTCCTATCAAGCAACTCCATGAAAATCTTACAAGATATAACTCTTCAGACCACAGACTAAGGGATGCTAACTGTCAGCATTGTTTAGATACAAATTAAAAAAACAGCCACTTAAAGATTTAGAGAAAAAACAGAATACTAACCAGTGACATCTTCTCTGCCACGTAATTTTTGTAAGACTTTCTTAGCCTCATTCATCTTTCCTTTGCTGACTAACCACCTAGGAGACTCAGGCAAGTAAAACACCGTCAAGACAAAATACAAAAGGGATGGAATTGAAAGAACACCGAGCATAAATCTCCAACTCGGTGCATCCATCAAAGACATGCCAAATACCATACAGTAAGACAAGAACATCCCTCCTGAACCAGTGAACTGTGGGAGGGTATTCAACTGTCCTCTGATCTCCGGGGGTGAAGTTTCTGATATATAGACTGGCACAAGAGTAACTGCTAAACCAACTCCAAATCCATCCAACAGCCTACCCAAGAGCAAGACATATACATTGGGAGACCATAGCATAACAACACCACCAAGACAGTACAACAATGATGAGACGATCAGCATAGGCCGGCGCCCAACTGAATCTGAAACAGGACCTGAGAACGTCGTGATAACTGTGGCTCCAATAAGAGACATGGCCACAATAAGCCCCTCCAATGTTGGTTGTGTTTCAAGGTTGAATTCCCTCTTGATGTATATTAGAGCACCTACATTAACATCAAACATAATCTCAACTCTCAAAATTCTAGGATACATTATTCCAATTTCAAAATCTACAACTATGATAAATCAGATAAACACCCAACAAACTATTCCTCTCAATTGTCATTCAAATCAGCAAAAGAACTAAAAAGAACAGAATTTGAGTTACCTGCAATAGTTGCATTGTCCCACCCTTGCAACAAGTTGCCCATTGTAGCAGCTAATGCTGCAAACACAGCTCCTCTCATCTTGCTTGCTATAAATCACACCCTATAACCTGAATCATTATATCACATCAAAATCACGAGTAAACATTGCTAAATCTTACTTTCAAAATCAAAGATCAAATCTTTCAATGAACTACCACAATATATAACCTTAATTCAACATCAAAGCATAAATAAAAATAGCTTAATCTTAATCCCATACATAATTCCATATAGTTTTTCCCTAAATTACATACATTACATAAAATTACTACCAAGTTCAAATAAGATTTAGTGGGGTAATACCAGAATTCAGAATTACACATACACCTAAACACATTGCAGAAATAGCAATATTAATAGATCTAAAAGCCCATCAATAAAGATCTAAAATTCAGAAGAAGAAAAAAAAAAAAAAAAAAAAAAAAAAAAAAGCGTACCTTTTTGCAATGGGCAAATCAGCCCCCTCAAAAAATACAGGAAAAAAGCGAAGTCTTTATTATTGCCAAAAGATATAATTTCAAATTTATACAAAAATTTTGCACCGACCCTTAATTATAATCATAAGCCTAAAATAAAATAAAAAAGATTGAATACAGAAAACCAAGATTTGTGATTTCAGATGCAGGAGAAGATTATGAAGACCGCCATTATTGATATTATAGATTGGCTTTTAGCTTGGTGATAGCTGGAATTAAAACTAAAAAAATATCATCCCACAAAAGAATCTTCTCAAGAATCTTAGTAAAAACTACAAACAGTAATTAATTGACATGAAAAAAAGACAGAAAGTGAAAAAGGTGAGAATTGGGGTCGAATTACCAGTTCTTCAACAGGGTATATTCCCGCCAGATGTACGACAGACAAGGTTTTTGAGGCGAAGAACGTGCGTTTTTCAGTGCTCTGTTTATCCGAGGATGTTTTTCTTTTTATTATTAGTTCACCTTATTTTTACTGAAATTATTTTTGATATGAACTTAAGTTATTTTCACTGAATTAAAATTATTATTGAAATTAATTTTGCAGAATTGAAATTATTTTTATTGATACTCTATTATATTTCTTCTTTAGAATTACTGATTTTTACTAAATTGAAATTATTTTTACTAAACTGAAATTAATTTTACTGAACTGAAATTATTTTTACTGAACTGAACTTATTTTTACTGAACTTAAATTATTTTTACTGAATATTTTTTTTTAAGGTGAACTGAACAAGGCTTTAGTTAACTTGACAATGATTTAACATAGGGTCGAGTGTGTTCGGGTCTGATTTAATTATTTTACGGAGTGCTCTGTCTGTTTCTAAAACATTGCTTCAAAATTTTACTTCACTTTTTTAAGATGTACCCAGTGAATGCAAAATTGATAAATTGTGCGTGTGGGTGAGTACTATGCACAATCATCGATGAGGAGAAAGATAGAGAGCAAATAGGGTTACAACTTAGGGTAATTTGCTAATTAAAGCATAGAGTATTTTATTACGGACTTTGGTTTTTCTTTAAGGGTCAATATTTTGATATCCCCATTGTTCACTAAGTCTTTGGCCAATGTTGGTTTTTATGCATAAAATTACAATTAAAATAAAGTCACGTTGATGCTTGTTAGATCGACTCAATATAAAATTTTCAGGTATTAACTTCTTATAATCTAAATTATTGATAATTATAGTCAAGAATTATGTCTTAACATATTTATTTAAACTTACTGTAGTCTCATATTAAAGAAAGATTAATTCTGTATTAAAAACAATTAAATATTCCATATACTTTGTTCGGTTTTTTTTAAGTGCAACGGAGGGAGTATGATTCTAGTCTAGAAGATGATGTTTTAATCAAACCTTGACATGATTAATTCTGTTATTCCTATCTTTATTGGAAAAGATATCTAACTTTCGTCAATTTATTGATAGCTTAAGACTCATGACTTGACTCACTTGACCTACCTTTTTTCTCCTTTTCTTATCACATGTTGATGACTTGATAGAAGTTGCCCCTACTCCTTATTATAAGATGCGCCTTTTTGCATATGCTTTATCATTGAATACTCTTACTATTCAGAAGACAGCCTTATAATTATACTCAGTGCATGTCTCTTACAATACCATATTTCATGTGAGTTAGATATACTAATAAGGAATTCATGTGATGTATAGGTGAGAATTGGACAGTAGTCCTTTTCGTAGTTAGATAAACATACTTTTCTACTATTAAGTGAAAACCACAAATTAGATCATAGAAACAAGTGTATAGTGATCATAGAAGTTAAAGTTGTAATAAGATTAAAAAAGAGAGGAAATATACATGCAAAAGAATAGTACTCAATCCTCTGTCTATATATAGTTGACATTCTTTGACTTACATGCGATTTTAAGCAAATTTAATTTCACTTGTTATATTATTGTATGATACTTCCTCCATTCTTTTTTACTTGACCCGCTTTGACTTTTACACTATTCACCACCTCTCCTTTGACCGTCTTTTGTGAATAATATGTAAGGGAAAATATATTCATTTTGGATCTTTTTGAATTCGTCTCAATAAGTACTATCATAACATATAACTTTTATGATTTTTTACTTATGGAGAATTAAAGTTGTTGATTATTAAAGTTTTGCATTGGCAAACGTATAAAAGACAGGTCAAGTAAAAAAGAACAGAGGAAGTAATAATCTATTATCTCCTAGTTTTAGATGGATGTGCACGTTTTATATGCTACTATATAGTCTAAGTAGTCTAAAAAAAAAAAAAAAAAAAGCCTACTATATAGTGACTACTAAGTAGTTTGTTTAAGAATGTTTTAGCTTGGAAAAACAATGGTTGGGATCTATTGCCTTACATCAAGTTTTCTTGTAATCGTATGGAAGTAATTAAGTTGTTTTAAATGCTTGAAGCATCTATATATATTATACTAAAATGGAGTTGTTTTTGGAGGGGAAAAAACCTTTTTTTAAGGAAATTTTCATTATATTATGAAAATAACAAATTTAGTTTATAATTCCCAAAAACATTTATGACAACATTCTAATCTACCCCATAAACTTAAAAAATTTACGGAGTATATTGTACAAGTATTTTAAACAATTGCTAACCAATATATCGACTACTTTACAATTTATATAACTAATTATTAATGTTAAAATCCGAGCTGAGCATAGCTCGGACACTGACTAGTTAATTAATATATATAACTCATTCAGATTTCGTGGTGTAAAAAAAACTTAAAGGGAAGCTCTAACCAACTGATGAGCTTCAGAGCTTACTCTCATCTATCTTTTTGCTCAGCTACTAGGTAATATTCTTATATAATAGAGATATTATTATTCAAGTGAATAAATGAATTAGATGATTGAATAAATTACATTTGTGCGTGATTCATGATTATTATTTTAATGATTTTACTGTTAGTTTTTTTAATACCCGCCGTTTTTAATATTCATTCAATTTTCCCTCCACTCTTTCTACCTCTATAATTCTAAATTCTAATTTATTTCTTTCATCAAACAATACAGTCATACTCATATTATATTACAAAACTCTATATGGTACCATACAAAGATTTTAAAAATGGATTCAAATCAAAATACTCCCTCCATTTCATTTTGGCAATGAAGTTTTTCACCAAGTGTCATTTTGTATGTACATTTCTAGTAATGATTCATCAAAGATATCAAAGCTTTGGAGATTTTGCATAAAAAAAAATGATTGCATCATCCAATTGGATCTTCTAGTCTTATTCATATACATGATTTATTCAATAATTTAAGTAACAAGGTTAAGTACAAAGTAAAACACACAAAACAAAACAAAACTAATTAAAAAATATAATGGCTTGGAGTTTTGAAGAGGACAAGGTATTTGAAAATACCATAGCAGAATTGGTTCTTGAGAGCCCAAATTTGGCTCAAGAGATTGCCTTAAGAATGCCAGGAAGACAATTGAGGAAATCCAAACGCATATTGATGTTTTGCTGCACGATGTTGTGATGATTGAAGCAGGTCTTTTAGATGAAGAGCTTGATGACATCTATGATGGTGATTCCTCATCATCGTCGATGTCCCATGGTGTACCACCGCCTTCAGGCCAAGGAGTTGTACCGGCGCATAAAAGGAAGGGCGTTCGTTGGACTAAAGATGAACATGAGTGTGTTGCTAATTTGTTTTGTGTCACACATTCTCTTCACCTTATTTTAGCTAATTAATATTTAAAAAACGATTTTACTAAATTACAGTAATTTTACTAATATAATATATATATATATGTATATGTATATATATATGTATATGTATATGTATATGTATATAAAGTAAGCATTTTTGAAGAGCATTCGACACGCCATATAAGCAAAAGTATTATTTTGACCAATGAAAAATTAGATATATATTTTATTTTAGAATTAAAAAATTCATTCGCCACCTAAGAAAAATTAACGAATGAGATTTAAGAATTTAAATTCAATTTCCACATAGCTAAAAAATGACTAATAGTGATTGAGGATTTAAATAATTAAAAAGCCAAAAATTATCTTTGGATATTAGAGATTTTATCAAAATATCCGATAAATATAATGTAAATGGGTTTTTAAAATTATTTTACTTTTAATTAATTCTAATGTCATCAACAAAATCAACAAGCGAAATTGCATTTTTCAATTACATTATAAATAAAAATTATACATTTCTAATAAAAATATAATCACAAAATTATTAGGATTTAAATACTAAAAACTTAATAATTAAAAAAACTTAAAATTTAAGTAAAAAAATCTAATATATAAAAATTAGGTATTTTTCGAGAGCATTCGGCGCGCCACATAAGCAAAGGTATTATTTTGACCAATTAAAAATTAGATTTTTATTTTATTTTAAAATTAATAAATCCACTCGCCACCTAAGCAAAATTGACGAATGATATTTAAGAAATCAAATTCAATTTCCACGTAACCAAAAAACGACTAATAGTGATTAAGGATTTAAATAATAAAAAAAAGCAACAAATTATCTTTTAACATTAGAGATTTTATACAAATATCCGACTATTATAATGTAAACAGATTTTTAATTTTTATTTTACTTTCAATTAATTCAAGTGTCATCAACAAATTAAATCACATTTTTAATTACATAAAATATAAAAAATTGTTCAATTCTAATAAAAACTTAATCACAATATCATAGGGATTTATATAATAGAATTTTAATAACTAAAAAACTTAAACTTTAAGTAAAAAAAAAGGCATTTATTTACTTGATTTATGTAAAAAAAATTAGAATAAAAATAAAAATATTATAGAGATCCAGAAATAAAAATTAATATATAAAAAAAAACATGCATCGCAAAAGAGGCATTTTTTGAAAGCATTTGACGTGCCATACAAGCAAAAATATTATTTCAAGTAATGAAAAATTAGATTTATATTCTATATTATAATTAAAAAAATGTATTCGCCATCTAAGCAAAATCAACAAATGAAATTTAAGAATTCAAATTCAATTTGTCAAATGAATAGTGTTTTAGGATTTAAATAATTTAAAAACTAATAATTATCTTTTCATATTAGGGTTTAAGTTATTCGAAAAACTAAAAATTATCTTTTAAGATTAATAATTTTGCATAAATAGCTGATGAATGAGATTGTGTTTTTATTATTTATTTTAATTTTAATAAATCAAAATTTTATATAAGTTAATAAATGAAATAGTAAAATTAATTAAAATATTTAAAAACTTTTAGTCTAAGACCGTACAAAAATATATGGAGTACCTAAATGAAAAAAAAAAATCATATTTTATTTAAGAATTAAAAAAATTGATTGCCCATAAGCAAAATTAACGAATAAGATTTGATATTTTATGTGCCAGGTTAAATAATAAAAAAAAAAAAAAAAAAAAGAAAAGAAAAGAAAAACCTACGAATAGTGATTTTAGAATTGAAATTATTTTAAAAAAAAATTATCTTTTAATATCAAGTAGTTTATTCTAATATCCTACAATATTTATAATTTAGATATAATCATAAATTTTTCCACATAACTAACATCAACTAGGTCGCATTATAAATTGCATAAATTTAATAAAAGTACCTAACTGCATTATAAATTACATTAAATTAAAAGTACCTTAACAAGCAATAACAAATTAATCAAAATATTATATGATCTAATTCAAAATATTATATTTTCGTGAAATTTATGTATTAAAAAAATCATGCATCGCACGGGCTTTAATCTAGTGATCAATTAAAATTGAATAATTAGTGGTTTTTGTCATACGCTATATGTAGTTACCAATTTAAAGTAATAGTTACAATGAATTTTTATACCAATTGAACTTAATTTTACTTATATTTACGTATGTAGTACATATCAATCGTTTTCTTAAGTTGAAGTGATGAGTATATATCCCTTCTATATCACACTAATATTTATGTACATTATGGTTATTTACACATTAGGTTATGTCCTTAGTTGTTAATGGAAATCAAATGATGTAGCGTGCCTTTGGCTAGATTTTTATGCATTAAGGGAAATCTATTTCGACTTTTTGCGACTACATATTTTCTTACACGTGCACTCCGATTCATCCTATATGTTTACAATATCTAATATATGCGGCATCAAAATTTAATATGAATTCATTACATTCACCTTTGAAAACATAATATATATTGTCTATGTCAAAAAAATAAATTTGTCTTAAGTCGGTACACCCAAATGTATAAGAGATTGTAAATTATATAATATATTGTCATTACTTTTTTTCTTCTTATTTTACACTAATGAAGAAGATCAATGTCAACACAGAATTTTCCTACAAGGTTTGGAGTAGTATGGAAAGGGGAATTGGGCTGCTATTTCAAGGTTTTGTCTCCCATCTAAAAGTGCCAAACAAGTTGGTAGCCATGCCCAAAAGTATTTCAAGAAGCTTCAAAAGATTGCTAACAAAAAATAAAATTGAAGACAAAGTTGGAAATATATTATTTCTACCATGCAAATCTCTATAAAGTTTCCCCCTCCATGAATAATAATATATGTATTAAACATGCAAAACACATTTGTATTCATCATGAAATATATAATTATCCTTAGTTTCTCACAACTTAATTAATCTTATTATTCACTATTTGAATGTATTGCAATGATATAATATTATGAGTTCCTTTTTCAATTAGACTTCAATGTCTATTTATCATTGAATATATGGAATTGAATTCATCTCAATCGATGCATAATGGCTATGTATATATATATATGATCCTAACGTTAATACAAATCATAAATTAGAAATAAGCTTTATGATTGATAAAAAGAGTGAGAATAATTTAGGTACAAATCTACAAAGCCGCGCGTAATTGTGTGTTATTTTACCTTCTTATTAAAAAGATCTATCGATAAAAATTGTACAAATTCTAAAACAATATATATACATAAAATACACAACGCGGCATATAATATTTTTTTTATTTTAATTTGGACTGAGTAGAATTGAATCACATAAGCTTGCATGACTAAAAGGAAACGTACTACTCCTAGTAACAACTTTTGCAAACATAATATTTTGTATTCAACAAGACAACTATAAAGAATGAAGCGTCTAAATGTCTAATCTTCGTTATTAAGAAAATATAAAGGTCCCGAAGAGGTTTCTCAAACGTGCCACATGTATACCATCAGTAATACTCCCTCCGTTATTTTTATTTTATTTGCATCACTTGAAAAGACAATAAAAATTTAGGAAAGTAATATAATATTGTGGGTGGGTGAATTAATTATTATAATAAAAAAGTAAGATGGGGAACATGAAAGAGAAAGTATGTGAAAAAGAATATATATTTTTATTATTTAAGTGGGGACAATGGAAGAGAGGGAAATATAAAATAATTTGAGTGAGTTTAAAGTAAGAAAGAGAAATGATAAAATATAATATAAGGTTATCAAATATATAAGTGATGCATGTAAAAAAATATCCATAAATAAAAAGTAATGCAAATGAAAAAAAAAAAACGGAGGGAGTAGTACACACAATGACACAATGTAACAACCAAAAAATCCAACGAGACATTCAAACGTTATAAATTTATAATTAATCCAAGGCAACCCAAATAGATATCAAATCAAGTACATTTGGAGCACATTTAATTCCTTTTTAAGTCGTCCATAATATACAAAATGATAAATCTTATTTCGACTTTATCTATATTTTATTGTTTCATCTTGTGTTTCACCTCTTTCTTTTTTTTTTTTTTTTTTTTTTTTTTTTTTTTTTTTTTTTTAGCTACATATGTCACAAACTAGGTTTCAATCACTTTATTGATAATAATGCCGAAATTGAATTAAATGTATGTAATGAAATAGAGGATCCTTTCTGATACTCTTGTACATTATAAATGACAATAAGAATGTTAGTTGTAAGAAGCAAGCTTGGTCATTTAAATTTTTATCTAAGTCACAAAGTCACATTATCAAGGAATAAAAATGAATCCTTCCGGTTCTAATAATAATATTATTATTATTAGTGAATGTAGTAATAATAATCAAGAGTGGACTTGTATTGAAAACAAGATGTTTGAGAATGCTTTAGTTGAGTTAGAAGTTACCTCTCCTGATTTTTATGAAAAAATCATGGCTATTATGCCATGGAAATCTCTTGAACAAATCAAGAGCCACTATGAAAAACTCGTTGCAGATACCGCAATGATTGAGCAGGATGAAATTGGTGGCCTTGGTGGAGTTGATAATCAGTGGCGGACTGGGCCTTGTGCCTGGTGGGTCAAATGACTCACCAGGGCCCAAAAAAAATTTTCAAGTTTTTTTTTTTTAAAAAAAAAAAATAAAAAAAAAATCTAACTTCAGGTCCCGACACTTCCTCAAGCCCTAGCCCACTGCCTCCTCAGCTGTTCTTCCCTCTTCGCCTCTTGACTTCCTCTTCGCTTCATCTTCACCAGACTGCCTCCACCCAGCCACCCTCCAGTCGCCTGCTCTGCCTCTGCTGCTTGCCTGCTTGATGCTTTCCTGCTCCGTCTCCGTGGTCACTGCTCTTCGCAATCGCTTCGACGCAATTGCTAATTCACTAGTAAGTTGATTTCTAATTTTTATTTTTAATTTCTTATCTTCAATTTAATTCAGTCTAATTAGTTAATTTTATTAAACTTTGGTTTAAACTTTGGTTGATTTGTAGTTAACGCTTCCTCTTCGCTCATCGGCTCACGCCTCGTCGCCTCCAGTGCTGGCCCTGCTGCTGGCCCTGCTGCTCCGCCTACTCGCCTCAATCAGCGTCTGCCGTCTGGCAAGGTAATCATCAATTTATTCTTTTTTTTTTGTGTGAATTTCTGATCAAATTTGCATTACTTGTTGCTTAAAATTAGTATATACGATGAATGTTCATTGAATTTGCATTATTTGTGTTTTGACTGTTAAATTGAACTTATTATTTTATGTGATGCCGGACATTGTATAAGACAGCTATTAGTGTAAGGAGGATTATAAATTTATAATTAGATTACAGTGTGGACTGGTTAGTGGTGCTAGTCGCATATTCGGTTGGAAGTTCCGTATAGACTAGGCGGATTCAGGAATTGTAAAGCATTGTGTCTGAATTGTGGTTACATAAACCTTAAATCATTCTTAAGTTTTTTCTTGTGATTGTTGCTGTAAATTGTTTAAACTGTTATTACACGGAGAACAGTAGTTAGGGTGTTTATTAGCTTGTTAGTTATTAGTTTGTTAATTTTAGTCTTGTAATTTCAGAATGAAGAGAAAACGCATTCCAAATGAAATGCAAAACATTACTAGCTTTTTTGCTAAAAAGAATCCTACTCCAACTTCTCTTCCACATCCAACACAAAATGAACAAACTATATCTCAACCTCAAGAAAGTGAACAACATTCATCTCCATCTCATTATTCAACTTAAAATTCCCCTCAAAATGAACAAGACCAATGTTCTCCTAATGCCCCAATCTTTGATGAAAGATTAAGTGAACATGAATTTGCTAATCTTCCACAAGATCCAGGAAAGAGGAGAAAGATGAGTGAATTTCATAAAGATGATAGAGATTTAGTGAGAAGAATTTACATTCAAAGAAAGTCTTGTCAGCCCAAAGACTTTGTATTTCCTCAAACTTCTATTTTTGGCAAAAACCGTCGCTTTTGTGCTAAGTGGTTTGGTACTTGGACTTGGCTTGAGTATAGTGTGGAAAAGGATGCTGCCTATTGGTTGTATTTTGTATTGTTTGAATATTTGGATGTATTTTTTAGTACTATTATTTGGTTGTTTGGTAAAATTTTTTTTTTACATATTTGATTATCGATTGTGACTCACCAGTCGGAAATTCCTGGGTCCGCCACTGTTGATAATGGAGCTAAGGTTGATCGCAAGCAATGCAGGGGTGCACCATGGACAAAAAAAGAGCATAGGTAAGTAGCTTATCGGATCTTTAATTTGTGCCCTATAAAAAAAAATTATTTCATGCCCTAAATCTCTATTATATCGTATTAAATTTGTCGTCTAGCTTTACTTTTAGATACGATTCTGTTCATAATTAATTAACTAGGTAATTAAGAAAATAAGAGAAAAAAATTAGATTGGGATGAGCATATTTATTGACCAATAAAAAACTTAAGGTGTCACATAATCAGACCGTTTGATTGTCGTGTACTTGTATGCAGTTATAGAATAAAATATTATAGGTAAGGTCTTTTGCCTAGTTACAAAATACGGAGTAAAAGATATCAGGTAATTAAGGTCTTTTTCCTTGTGCCCTAAATCTCTACTATATCGTATTAATTTAATTTGTCGTTTAACTTTACTTTTAGATACATCTTAGAGCATTTTTACTGACCAATCAAATACTTTAGGTGTCACACAATTATGTCGTATGGTTGTCGTGTATTGGTATGCAATTAAAGATTTTAGTTAACATTATTAGCCGTTTTCATTTATTTCATGCCCTAAATCTTTAATACATTGTATTAAATTTATCGTCTAGCTTTACTTTTAGATACGATTTTGTGAAAATAGATTTCCTAAAGGGTCGATCATACACGGGGCCGTAAGGGAAAACCCTACATTTACTTATAACTACTAGAACAAGAAACATAAACTAATAAAAATTCTTGTAACTAATTTTATATATATAACCTTTCACAAATGTTATGATTTAAATTCTGATAAGTTAGGATTTAGTCTTAAGAGCAATTGTCCTAATTTCCGTTTACCTTTCCTTATTAATTAAAAATTATCGATGTTTGAATTCTACACAGGTCATTTTTGGAAGGGCTAGACATGTTTGGAAAAGGAGAATGGAAGAACATAGCAGAAATCTACGTACCAACTAAGACAGCATCCCAAGTAGCTAGCCATGGGCAGAAGTACTACAGGCGTCTCAAGTGTCGCACCCCTGTCGAAAAACGTCGTGCCAGCATCCACGACATTCGTATCGTGAACTCCTCCATAGTCGAAACTTATCCAAGGCAACCTACTCGCCATTCGGTCATTGAACGTATCCCTCAAAGTGACCGCCCTAAGAACAATAACAACAGGAAGCGGGATGATGTTGTTGAACAACATGATTCGTCGAAGGCTGATCCAGCAACAGCTTTGAATAGCATCAATAACATCAACTCACAAATTGTTGTGGAGGATAGTTTGGATTATGAAAAATTATTTGCTGATTATGATGAGATAGTTTCTGATTATAATGACCTATTTATTTAGGTTCCTTAAGCTAAGCAAGTTATATGCCCTTTGTCTAAAACTAATTAGGGCGTATATTTAAATATGTAATTGCTAGTAATCAAGTATCCTAATTCCTAAGGCTAGCTTTAAATAATTTAGTTGACATGTAACATGCAATGCATGTACTTTCGGTGAACAACTTGAATCTTAATACTAATCAAGTATTTTACCAAATTGGCTCCTTATTATTGATTTGTATTTGGATTATTTAAAGCGTATTTACTTGGGAAAATTAGGAAGTAATTAGCCTCAAACATAAGAGGGATTTTGCACAATACACCAAATTGATCTAATTAGGATTTTTGAATAATACATGGTGAAACGAATTTAACAAAATTCAACTTGATAATATTTTTACTTTTAAATTAGTATAAAAATGTGGTGAAAGTTTAGTCAAATTAATATTCTAGATTACCAGACCATTTTAGACTAAAAAAGCTCAAATCAGACCAGGTCATACCTTATTCAGTTCATATCAGATCACCTTATTTTAGGTGAAGATAACAAATCCTTAAAGGGTATATTATGTGATTTTTGAAACATGTAGTTATTTTATATGTCATTTGAAAACTAAAGGGTATGCATTGAAGTATCAAATAGGTCATTTGGTTAGAAGGTCGGATTAGATCAAGTGAAAGTTCTTTCAATCTGAGTGTATTTGATCAGATACGCCATACTCAAGTAAGAAGAGTTCAAGATGAGTGTACTAGGGTCGGGTCAATTAGCTTATTGTGGGAAACAAATCACTTCCACTTTCATTTCATTTGGTTCAGTTTAGATCAATTTCAATTAAAGTCAATTTCTATTCGGCTCAGTTTCGGATCATCCTATTTCAGTTTCAGGTACGAGTCGGGTGCATATACGAACTTTTTTACCCACCCGGCACCGGAGTAATTTCCTTGAGATGGCTTAAAACCCCAGAAATGGTGGAAAGGAAACCATAAAAAAGTAATGAAAATGAAGGAAGAAAAAGGAGGAAGTGGGTACATTGGGCTATGCACAGTAGGAGGAGTATTGAGCGCTGGAACCGCCCATGTCGTCGTCACCCCTCTTGATGTTCTCAAAGTCAATATGCAGGTTCCTTCTTTTAACCCCCTTTTATCTTTCAATTTAATTTTATCTTTCAATTGTGATTATATATGATTTACTGGGTATCTCAAATTCTTCATGATTTAATTTTCTGGTTTTCTCTTGTTTATTATTGCGACATTTGGACCTTGAATTTGATTTTGTAACTCGTACATTTATGTTTTAATTGTTGGGGTTATAAAGATTATACCTTCTAGCAATAAAGGTTGAATCTTTCTGTAAATTCCTGTTGGTTTATTTGTCAATTTGAACCTCCATTGGCCCTCGTATGTGTTGTGTTACTTCTATCTAGGGTTAAGGGAAATGTGTTCTTGTTCGTTATTATAGTTAGAGATTTAGAAGTGCCGAATGCATGGTTCAATTAGGTTCAGTTTGAGTCGATTCATATCGGGTCACATTCAGGTGATGAGTCATTCTGCCCGAGTTAGTGGCAGGTTGCGTTAATATAATTTGGTTGGAACTAATCAAGCTGATATGTAAATAGTCTGATTGGAAACGCTTTGTTCATAGGTGAATCCTGTCAAGTACTATAGCATTTCATCATGTTTAACTACTTTGCTAAGAGAACAAGGGCCTTCAGTGCTTTGGAGAGGGTGGGCTACCAAATGTATTGGTTACGGGATGCAAGGTGGTTGTCGGTTTGGTCTATACGAGTACTTCAAGAAACTGTATTCAAATGTGCTCGCAGACAGCAACAGGAGTCTGGTTTTCTTTGCTAGTAGTGCTTCCGCTGAGGTGATTGCCAACGTTGTGCTTTGTCCTTTTGAAGCCATCAAGGTCCGGGTGCAAGCTCAACCTACTTTTGGCAAAGGGTTGCGTGATGGATTCCCCAAGCTGTATGCATCAGAGAGCGTCTATGGGTAATAATCTAACCACCGCAGTTACTACATGGTAATTGTTTTGTGAATTGCTTGTCTATTGATTGTTGTTGTTTTCCATTTCAATTTGCAGTTTTTACAGAGGGCTTGTTCCACTTTGGGGTCGAAACCTTCCATGTAAATTCTGCTTTTCTATTAGACTTTGGTATACTGGTCATTTGAAAAATAGGGAAATAGGGTTATATCTTGTAAGGATCATTCATATAATAACTAGGATATCTAGAAATCAGCTGATGTAGACTTTGACACAGGATAGTTGTGTACACCCGTGATCAGGATTTACAGTCAATCGTGCTATTTTGGAATGTTCAGGAAAAATCGTCAAATTTCTATAATAATAATCAATTATCACTACAATCTCAAGATATTGCCCACTAATTCTAAAGATACTCAACTTTTGTCTTTCCTACTTAATGAATCTGGGTTGGGTGATTATCGAGCTAGTTTTCCCTCAAAGCCTTCTTCTGAACTTGCCTATTAGTGCTTATGAAAGTGGGTCAAACTAGCGACCATCCAGTAAAATTTTCAAGTCTACTGTCAGTGAGCAAAAGTTGTGAATGATTTCAAGCAGCCTAGTGGATTTCAATGTGTACATGCTGCAGAAATTTGTATTGTTGGTTGTAGCAGAAAACAGCTATGTTATCGATGAGGAGAACACAACCGTTTAATTAATTTGGTTCTGATAAATGATTAAATGGGACATAGAGGTGAGATGGACATGCTGAGAAAGGGAGCACAGAGGATGAAAGGTGATGTATTCAGAAGGCCATGCATGGGAAATTGGTCAGGGGATTAATAAAACCATCAAATTTAAGATTGTAGGACAATAACATCCCTTTCCAGACAAAAGGAGTTTAAGTTGATGATGTATACGGCAAATTGGTCATGTGCAAGTTTTGTGATTTACTTCCCTCTTCTTCCTTGATTTGTATATGAGCCCTGGTTTCTGATATATATGCAAATACTTTAGTTTAAATCTGATCCAGTTTGTCTGAGTTAATTTCAATTTTTTCCTGCAGTCTCTATGGTGATGTTCTCAACATTTGAGCATACTGTGGATTTTCTGTATTCCAGTGTTCTCAATAAGGGAAAAGAAGATTGTTCCAAAGCTAGGCAACTCAGTGTAACATGTATAGCAGGATATACGGCTGGAGCAGTTGGTAGTCTTATATCAAATCCAGCTGATAACATTGTCACTACGATGTACAACAAAAAGGCCGACACCATTAGATTGGTGAGACTTACTACCCTCTATTCCGGGTTTAAATCACATACATGCTTGCTTTGATTCACATACGTGATATTTTTACCTGATTTGCAGGCTGTAAAGAAAATTGGACTTGTAAACTTATTCACGAGGAGCCTTTCCATAAGGATAATACTAGTAGGACCAGTAGTCACCTTGCAGTGGTTCTTCTATGATTGCATAAAAGTTATGAATGGGCTGTAAGTACTCTTTTATGATTGCACAATATAATCAATCTGACCCTTTACTTTCTTATGACTATCTTCCATAAAGTGTGCTAGTTAAATATAACTCAATTTGAATAACAATAGATTTAATTCTTCTTTGAGCCAAGATCTCCTCTGTCGAGGAAGCCTATTAACCTGCCACAACTAACCAGTGTAACCAATGTACAGAATAGATTTGTTCTAATAATAGGTGTTGCCAACTTGCCATTGTGATATCGCGGTAAATGCGGTATATGGCTATATACTTGACATGCCCTTTTGCATCCATACTATGTAAGCTACATTGTTGATTACTAAATAAGCAGCATAGTTCATAATCTTATGATCAATTGATCAGTTCTTAATGCCTGTATGACCTGAGGTGACCGGCAAAAAATTTACTCCTGTCTGGGCTATCTCTGTATAATAGGCCACAATTCTTTTTTAGGTTGCCCCAAAGTAATAGGCCACTTTCTGAATTTAGTAAGTTTTACTTTGAACCTTCATATGTTTCACTGAATGATAGCGGTAGCGTTGACTAAGAACGTGTATTCTATAAGCATTTGTCAAGAAGAAAAAAAAAAAACGCTAAAAACGTTAAAAATTACTACAGTAGAGCTGAAATCTACCTCCATAGTGAAACCATAGAGCCTTGCAGTTTTCACATAATGCTTCATGATTGGGTCAAAATTATTTTAGTACCACGTATTCCTTGTTAATTCATTTATGTGAGTTATCAATTTTTAGCTATATCTACCTTTGTTTCATTTCAATTTATTAGACAATATTCTGTTAAAACTACCCCTTTGTCATGATGCTTACTACTGAATGTCTGAATGTACTGATAAATGATATTCCTTGTGTTAAATCGTGCAGACCGACTAGTGGAGATATTAGCTGCAATAGAGAATTGGAGACAACATTATGATTTCAAGCCATTTTGAAATTCACTGGAAGCTTTCATTTGGCATCAAAACACGTCAATTGCAACTCTTGTAAGAACTATACTTCCCACAAACCTTAACCAAACACTATACTTCAAGTTCCTTTTTCATTAACATTACACCCATTCATTTGCTGGATTTTGTCTACCAGGTTTGATATCATAACCTTGTGATTCTTGTCTATGTGTTATTGCATAGGTTGTACTCCGTAAACATCTAACATGCCGTCCAGTTTTACATTCCCGAAGTCAAACTGGACGGCATTTTTGATTTTGTGATGAGATCTAGTTAGATGAGGTCCGATGTGGATTCCTGACTTGATTGTATTGCGTTTTTTTGTTTATCTCAAGGGTAAAACATAAAAACCATGAAAGCAGTGTTTTTTTATTCCAGGAACTTTATGATGCAAAATATTCTCAAGTTCTCAGATGAGATGTACTTTTGTTTGTAATCTACTATCAAAGAAGCTTCCACTTGAGAGCTCCATTCAAGCCACCACATTGTATAAAGCCACTTTTTATAAGCTTTGTCTTACCAAAAATAATTTCTTTAAAATAAATTAAGTACCAATAATAATTCCCCCAAATAAATAAAGTACAAAAAAGACAAAAAAAGATACTTGAGGGGGATGGCCAGGGAGCAATATTTCTGTCATTATTAGTGCACTCCCTATCAATTTAGACAATCCCACACATGTTGGGCATCCCCGCATGTTTCCTCTTTTCTTATTTTGTTTTAAGTTTAATTACAACCGTCAAATGGATATTTCATTGGACAATGACACTATTAATCATGTATATATTTGTTATTTTTCCGTCTCTAAATAAAAGGGCATATTTATATTATATTTTCTCGGAATAATAATATTCATAATCTAAATTTTGTTTGTTTATTATTCCGAGGAGTTCAACCTAAAATCTTATGCCTCCTCCCTCAGATCTCAAGGTTGTATTTTACTTGATTTAAGAAAATAAAGGGGGATTTGTACACTTTTCAAATTGTTGTTCAAATAGTTTGTGGGAGTTCAGAAACCAAAAGTGCTTACAAAAACTATGGTATTAGACTCTTAGAAAGGAGAGCCATGCTTCTTTTACTAAAAAGGGTTAGCCTAGTTTTCTTATTATTATACCCATGGTAAGGGTAAGATAGGAAATTACTCAAATTTAATACTTTAATTTTAGACGGGTCCTGAAATCCATTAGTGTAGATTCATCATTAATTAAAACCTTGATTGAACCAAGAAGATTCTCTACGTAAATCACATTGAGTAATATTCTCCCTAGTGGTACATTAAGTCTCTTAAATCAGCAAACTTTACCCACTGTCAATAATATTCTTTTACTCTAATTTTTCATGTTGAAAAAATTGTTTAATTTTTCTTGCAGATTCAGCAATTTGAAAATAGACGTCAAACTACATCATCTCTACCGTCATTTTGGAAGAACCGTTCAGTTCGAAAACTACCTTTGCAAAACAGATCAAAACTCGAAAATTAACCACCAAGGTTCGATCTTGAGAAACATAAACTTGATTAAACACCAAAAAAACAGTTTTAAGTTTGAATTTTGCGTTGTTTTGCGATTTGAGGACACCCCAAAAGAAAAATAAACTATATAAGCCAACACAAAAAGAGAAAAAACAACTGAACATAAAAGATCTTGTAGTATTGATCATTTTTCTTGTCAACAATTTAAGGTATTGAAAATTCAATAATTATTAAGGTTTAAAAAAGTCAATAATAATTATCTTTCAAAAAAAGTCAATAATAATTAAGGTGTAGTATTTCAATTTTTCAACTACTAATAAAGCTGAAGATAAATCACATTACTAGAAACAAACTATCCCTTTCATGGTTCCCAAATTAAAACTCTTGTCTTAGAATCTATTCTATGGGGTACCTAAACCAAAACTCATTTATATTTCAATCATTAGATTTAGTTATTTTTAGGGAGAAATTAGATAAAATCAAACTGATTTCCGATCCAACAAAATCCACCTAGCTACAAGGTGTGCAACTATATTTCCCGCCCTCTTACATGACAACACGTAAAATATCTTCATTACAACTGGAATCTGTTTTTATGATATTTAACCATTATATTTACTCCATGATAATCAGATCCAATATTCAATTTCCAAAGTCTGAAAAACCAGTATTTATCTGAATAAATCAACAACAAAAACTTGCCAGCACACTGAAGAAACGTGAACAGAGATACACTTTCATTTCAACAATAAACGTGAAACTTTTAATTACAACTACTCATACTTTTCTGGGTTTTGTAATAAAAAAATATAAAAGCTTTACAATCTCGTATATCTCCATCTCCAGAAATACAATTGAATTATGACATAATAAATAAATAAATTATTAAAAGAAAAAAAAAATCTACAATGAGAGAGACAAAGGCACGTTTACAACAGCTTAGTCAAGGCTGTGAAAGGATTGAATTCATTGTTGAATGTTGGTAAATAAGAAGAGCCTCAACTTCCTTCCATGTGACTCAACAAACAGCTCAGCTTCCCTGTCCATGACCAAGGCAAAGGCACATGAGCTTTGCTTCATATACATCATTGTCAATTAACATAACATCACCCCTTCATACCCCCTAACTGTCGGCCTGTTCGTGCATCTCCGAAAGTGCACCACAGAATCCGTTTTTCGCCACCCTCTAGGATAGATTACATTTAATAATTTGTAACATATGTAAGTACAATTGGCAGTAAATAATCCCTAGTAATCATGTACGAAGTATTATTTCTATGCAATAATTAATCCTAACTCTACGAAATTGGACTGCATAATCAGTGACAATTGGATCCTTAAGGCTTTAAGCTTGGTGTTTTTACCCATTAGCAGATGATGATAATACATTGACATAGTATAAGGTGATGAATTCACATACCTAGCAGAATTATGAGGTTGGTTTTCTTTTCAGTCTAAATAGATCATGTCTTGACATAATCTGCACCACCGCGCTTCCTTTTGTTAGACCGTGAAAAGAAGCATATTTGTGCCCAAGACTTCTTCTGCTTGGTGGGTTGTTGCTTGACGTCCTTATTTGCTACAAGATCAGCCATGTACTGAACAACAGCCTGAATAGCATAACATATTATAATTAGTACTGATTAGCTACTGTAAAAACACAATTGATCACCACTATCCAGTTCAAATTAAGGGAGAGAGCAGGGAAGATTTCCACACACCTGTGCACCCTTGTCAGCAATATGTCTCGGAGGCACTTCCAGAGGATTTTGATCAGAATGGAACACTCTTAATCGTGATAACAACCTGAATGATTCGGGCAGAACACGGATCTGGTTGTTACTCATATCCAACACTTCAAGCATCTCAAGGTTCCCAATTGACCTCGGAAGAGAGCGCAGATCTGCAAAGTTGTTACTGATAATCAACTTGACAAGCGAGGTAGCAAAACACAAGCTCTCAGGCACAGCTTCAAGCTCATTAAAGCTCACGTCGAGCTCCCTCAGCTTTGCTAGAGATGACATTGTGGTAGGCAGCTGTCTAATGTTATTGTACCGAACAGAAAGAACCTGCAAGGACTCAATCTTTCCCACAGCTTCAGGGAGGGCTCTAAGCCGGTTATAGTCCAGTCGAAGCTCCTCAAGAGAAGAGCATAGACCAATTGTATGAGGAAGTTCATCGAGATTGTTAGTTTCCACATTCAGCTTCTTAAGACTAACCAAAGACCCGACAGTATCAGGTAGCGAATGTAACTTATTTGAACTCACATCGAGCTCCTCAAGACGGATCAACCTACCAACACATGGAGGGAGTTTAACCAAGTAATTTCCTCTGACATCCAGACAAACAAGATTCAAGAGATCCCCAATTGCATCTGGGAGCTCAGTAATCCTGTTTGAATGCAAATCCAATTTCGACAGCGAGGAAAGCCCTCCAATAGTATCAGGTAAATCCACAATCCTATTTTCTGACAAATCAAGAGTGATTAAACCTGATAGCTTCTTAATGGAATCAGGCAACCATTCAACTTGATCAGACAACTTGTTTTGGAGAATTAGCTCTTTAGTACCCTTCTTTGCAGACACTTCAATTAAGCTAGCTAGCTTAATCAAACTCAATTTCTCAGCAGCATCTTGAGCTACAAACAGCAAAAACAAAACAGAAAATTTCTTGATAAATGCGCAAAACCCAGACAACCTCAAAAGTCAGAAAAACCAATCCCCAAAATCAATTTCATTCAAATCAAAAAATTTACACTTTACCATGAAATCCCACCAATAAAATTCAACAAAAACAATTGCCCAACCCCTCAAAGTCAGCAAATATATCATTGTCCACTCAAAAAACAACAATAAAGACTATAATTAATGACAAAAAAAGGAAACTTTATCTTTACCTGAATAATTGGATATCTTGAGAGTAGAATCAAACCCATCAACATGGAAAGTAGCAGTAGCAGCTTTAGATTTCTTAACATAACTATCATCCCTAGTAAACAGCTCACTCTTAACAGGCGCCTTCTTCTCCAAATTATAAAAACTTGTAGAAGCAACTGAAGAATCCAAATCCCTTGACTTTAACACAGGCCCAGTTGGCCCAACACTCAAATCCTTCTTCTTCATTGAAGAAGATGATTGCCCAGAATCAGCAGAAGGAGAAATACACTGAGAAACTCTCTGAATCATTTCGTCGAACACATTGTGTGCATTCTCAAGATCAAGCAATTTCACAGCATCCCTCTTCTGTTCTTTGCTCTGAAACTGAACTAAAGCCTTCTGCATCTCTTGGTACAGAAAGAACAGCTCTTCTGGTACTGCTCTACCTTTAGTTTGCTTAGCAATGGCTTCCAATTTCAACTGATCTTCTCTTTCAATGTTTCTGATTAAAGTTGTCGCAGCTTCAACTTCTTCAATGTCTGGACGAGTGGGTAGAGATTTGTGCATCCTCATAATTTCCCCCACCACCCCATCCACCGTCTTCGCCGCCGCCGTTGTTGAGAAATTATCCATTAAAACTAAGTAATACCCAGATCGAAAATTAGAAGAAAATCAACAAATAAACTAACAAACCAACCCAGATGAAATTTTTTTCTGGAAGTTTCTAGAAATGGAAAGAAGAAGCTATTCTTCCATTAAAGCCGCTAGCTGTTAGAATCTATATTGGTAAATTTTCATATAGTAAGTGGGTTTGTTTGGTTTACTATTTGAAGAAAACAAAATTCAAAACCCAGAAGGAAAAAAAAAACAAACAAAAAAAAATTATGAAATTAAATATAGAATCCAGAAAAATGCAGAAATTTATGGGAGGAAAAAGGAAGATAAAATTGGAAAGAAATAAGTTGCAGAAGATGATAACCAAAAAAAAAAAAACGAGGTAAGAAACCGACAAATCGAGATTTTAAAACGAGATTAGATTAATTATTCTCGTTGTTTGGTATGATTATTATAATAACTATTATTATTTGCAGCTCGAAATTCGAAGAAACTGAAAATGGAATGAAATTCCGAATTTCAGAGAGAGAAGAAGAAGAAGATGAGGAAGAGGAGAGAGAATGTGAGAGGAAGAAGGAGAAGAACTGAATTTCAGTTCAAATTACAGCAGTTGGATTGAGGGCTTTGTGCTAATTTATAATTTTCGCAGATTGAATGAATTATTTATAATTTATAATTATTTTTGTTTTTTTGATAAGAATATTAGAATTGCTTATTTTAGTATCTGGGTTTTATGAAAAGCTTTTTAGGTGTCACACTTTACAAATTTTATCCATAAATTTATCATTAGTATAAATACAGGAAAAAAAAATTATTATATACAAAATACTCGTAGTTTTATTTTTGTAACACAGAGTATCGGTCTAAATGTAAATTTTTAAAATAGTATTGTATCAAACTATCAAAGTTACCCAGTTTTTATTGACCATTTATATATATATATATATATGATTAATATGAATATTTGTCAATGCATAAATTCAACTACTTTTATCTTTAAAAATATAGAATTTTGTTTTTTAAAGGAAAAAAAATGTATTTCCTCATGTATAAATCACCAAAAAATATCTCAAATTTATAAGTAGGGTAAAAATGAGTAAAGTATATCATATACTCCTTTTTTCTAGGGCAAAACTTTGACCAAACATTTTTATCAATATGTAATTTTGATTATTAATATTTTAAAAATTAATTGATACAAATAATAAAATGCTAATTAAACAATATGTATTCTACATGAATATGATAGCATTTGTTTATTATACATTGTTTAAAAAATAATAAGTCAAATTGACAAAATATATAATGCAAAAAATACAGTATTATACTTGAAAAAACAGATTAGTAACTTTTATCTATGTATTTGAAAAAATAATTTATAAAGGTCTAATAGTGTTGTTATCCCTGTTAGTTCTTAGCAATAGGTTTTTTTTTTTTTTAACTTGATCACCTTTTAAATTATTTTATAGTTCCGCCACTTATAATGGGAAGATATTCGTAATTTGCCTTAAGCACCTTGGACAAGCAATATATACAACAAATTTTGATAAATAGAAAAGAGTATTAATGGAATTGATATTATTAGATGAAAAAGAAAGTAATGATGAAAGTTTATAAGAGATTTATTTGATGCCTCTCATAACAAGATACAGCTCTTTTCATGGTGGTATTTTTCGTCGTATTAATATACGGATAAGTTGTGTAAATTACGTTAATACCCTCACTTACTCACAAATCGTGATTCGTGAACGTTCCTCTGCCGCTGTCTCATTCATCAACACATTACACATTTGCGAGCCGCCACTGGTTTTCTTAAAGCGTCAAATTTCAAGACCACTTTTTTTTTCCCTTTGTTTTTTCTTTTTTTTTTTTAATAAAAATAAAAAATTAATTAGTAAAGTCTCAACCCCATTTTTAAGGAGTTTTTTTTATGAAAAAAGGACAAATTCGAAAAAACAGAGAAAATTAACAAATTTTTTACTCTCAATCTCCTTTTGACGTCAACCTTTTTTTTTTTTTTTTTTTTTTTGGAAAAAAATTTATCTTCATAAGTATATTCACAAATTTTCATTGTTCCTTACACTTAATAACAATCGATATCAGACAACAATGTACTTCCTATGTTATTATATATATTTTTTTTTAAATGAAGCTAATTGATGAACACATTCACAATCAATCACCAATACTTAAATTTGACCCATACTCGTAATTTTTTTTATTTCTTTGGATTACACATGTTGAAATATATATTATAATCAATCCCACAACATACACACGATATTATAACATATACAAAGTGTTACTTGTACGATATAAAAAAAAAAGAAAAAAAAAAAAGTCAAATTCATTTAATGAACAGTGCACCACATACAACTGTTGCACTTAAAAAGGGGAAGGGGTATCAACTAAAACCGTGTCATAATGAAATTCGCCAGGCATGAAAATTTATACCATATAAAAAGTATAATTTTTTTCTTCTAATGTAGTTTAGTTTGCAAATGGACTATCAATTAATGTTATTTTACGTTTTACACAACTCATTAAAATCCTTTTAAGGTTAAGTCAATCTAAACTATCTAAACATTTAAAACCTAAAGGGTACTCATGTCATGTGCATAGCTTACCATATATAATTTGAAGTTCATTAATTGTCCTTAGCCCAAACTCCTTCTCCTGTAATTTAATATTTTCCCTATTTCACAAAAGTTGCATTCTTTTCATTTTTAACTTTTAATTAAAAAATTTAGGAAAATGTTATACATAATCCTTAGGGCTACATATAAGCATTAAATACACACTAGAAAATCGTATAAATTTAGGAAATCATAAAAATATAAACAATAATTACACTGATTTACGCGTGTTTTTGTCATAAATTCCTAAATTTATACAATTTTCAAGAATGTATTTAATAAGGGTTACATATAGCATTACCCAAAAAATTTAATACAATAATGATACACTAGTACTCCATTAATTAAGATTAATTCAAAAATAAAATTATAGTGTAACATGTGACTATTACATATTGAAATATTCTACCATCACAATATTTACGTATGAATTATGTAAAAGTCAAACTATTGCAGCTAATTTGAAATAGAGGTGCTAATAACTTTATTACAAAGAAAAAGACCATGGCCAAGGTTAGTCGAGGTTGGATGGTGGTGGTTCCTTGATCGACAATTAGCTAGATACTTAATATATAAAATAAATAAATAAAAAACAGCCCCCCACCCCACTTGCCCAGACCCACCCCCGCCACCAGCCCACCACCCCCCACCACAGACCCCCTGCACAGACCCGCAGCAGCCCCCCACCTAGACCCCCAACAGCCCCCCACCCCACCTGCCCACACCCACCCCCCCGCACAGACCCCCACCTAGACCCCCCACACACCCAAACCACCACCCATAGACCCCCAGCAGCCCCCCACCCCACCTGCCCAGACCCACCCCCACCACGTAGTATAAATCATTAAAGAGAAATGTTATTTGCTTTTGCCTTGATCGACAATTAGCTAGATACTTAATATATAAAAGTGTTTTCTCAATTATCTCCTTCATTTTTAATTATTATTTTAATTGCAATCCACTTTGATTCTCTTTAATAATTTATACTACGTGTATAATGATTTACACTAATCACTTTAAGGACGACTGTAAGTACAAGACCTCTATCTTTGGTGAATTTAAAAGTACGAGTGGGATTCACCCATGTATTATATGAATTTGTATATTTCTTTTATGTTACCAAGTTAATCAATATTGCTACTTTGCTACGGAGTCTTCTATCGACAACTTAATTAAGTGCAAATGTTTATATGCAAGGGATTAGATTTGCACGATTTGAATTGCCCCCGATTTGAATAAAACTAGATAAATGGATTCTTTTTAATTTTTATGTATGACTTGACTCGGTCCAGAATCTCGTTAAGGATTTTGACATATAGTATGACATGTAAATATATATACACAATATCTGATCTTATGATCTTTTAATATTAAGGATTGTTTTACTTCTACCATTACCAACATGCAATGATAGAATCGGTCTTAATTAGCATATTTGTTCTTTTTATTAAGATCTAACGATAGTGCATAAAGAGTCATAAAGGACGTTGATGTTTGTAGAATTATAGCTTAGTATTTGGATATACATCTCCAAAACATTACTATCTACTTGACCAGCAAACATCCGCATATACCACATCTTATGACGATACAATAAGTACAACAAGGTCAAACTTATATCAACGGTTATGACCATTGACTATTAGCAAAATTATCACAAGTACAGCAAGGTCAAACCTATATTATTATCTGTTATGATCAATGACTATTAGCAAAATAATCACACAACTTCCCAAATGTAAAAAATGAAAACTATTGTAGTACTAGGTAAAAACAAAAAAATAAATAAATTAAGATGACTTGTTATTCTAATGACAACATAGGCTACATTGCTATCACAATTGGAGTTTATGCGAGACATGTCAGTCGTATCATAATCAAGCTTCGACCTCTTTGTCTAATTTTTATATATTAATTAATTTTAAATCATATATACCACGTACTACACGTTTAAAAAATACTATTGTATTCTTTAGTCCATATATTTAAGATATATCAAAATTATACATAAATCAAACGAGCGGAGACTTATTTCAAAAAACTCAGCATCAAGCTTTTGATGAAGTACTCTTAATGACGATTTTGCGTTTTATACTACACAATTTATATAAGTTAGTGTTGATAAGTATATTAGGTGACTCGTACTTCGTAGCTTTGTCCGCCCGATCGGGCGGACATTGCCCGGTCTGACCGGGCGGAAGAAGAAGAGGTGCCTGGCAAATTCGTTGAAGAAGCTGCTCTCGCGCCCGACCGGGCGAGCCTTCGCCCGACCGGGCGAGCCTTCGCCCGATCGGGCAGACCTTGCCCGGTCTGACCGGGCGGTGGGGGTTGGATACGTTGAAGCATTCGTATGGAGTTTTCTTCTCGCGCCCGATCGGGCAGACCTTGCCCGGTCTGACCGGGCGGAGAAGGAAAAATACGGAACGCGGATTTTGCAGTTTTAGGTTATCTTATTTTATTATCTTTTTGCCCAAGTATCTTTTAATTAGGGATTAATATAAAACCTCCCTAATATCAGTATTAGGGTTAAGAGAGATAGAGTGAGAGCCGTTCTTGAGAAATACAAGAATCATCTTTGTAATCTTTGCAGTTTATAGTGAAATCATTCGATCTCGGTGCCCGTGGACGTAGCTATCACATCGATAGTGAACCACGTAAATTCTTGGTGTTGTTCTTATTGTTTGCATTGAATTTCTTTATTGTTTTCTTGTTTGTTTTCGACCTTTGCTTCCGCTGTCGCACAACAATTGGTATCAAGAGCTCAGGTTCAATCCTTGGAGAGTTTCTTGAAGATAACAATGGCAGGAGATTCAACAATAAGAATTGAGAAGTTTACCGGGAAAAATAGTTTCGGGCTATGGCAAATTAAGATGAAGGCTCTGTTAAAACAACAGCAGATATGGCGTCCGTTGGCTCCAAAGAGTACTACTTCGGAGTCAGGAGACGGACCGACTGACTCGCAGTTAGAAGTTATGGAAGAGAAGGCACACTCTACCATATTACTTAGTCTTGATGATCAAATCATCACGGAGGTTGCTGATCAGGAAACGGCGGCTGGATTGTGGCTGAAGCTGGAGTCATTGTATATGACTAAGTCGTTGACCAACAAATTATTACTGAAACAGCGGTTGTTTAGCCTCCGGATGCAGTCAGGTACTTCCTTACGGGAACATCTAGAAAAACTTAACTCTATTTTGCTTGATTTACGTAATTTAGATGTTAAAATTGATGATGAGGATGCTGCGTTGATTTTACTTGTATCTCTACCGTCTAGCTTTGAGAATTTTGTAGAGTCTTTTGTTGTTGGTAAGGATTCTATAACCTTAGAAGAAGTGAAGGCAGCACTTCATACTAGGGAACTCAGAATGAAAGCTACGAGTGATAATGGGGATAATGGTAGTGGGTTGTTTGTTAAGTCCGGAAAGTCTAAAAAGAATAAGGGGTTTAACAAGGGGAACAATGCTGGGTCGGGTGCTGGAAACGGCAAGGATGGATCTAGTAAAACTACTACTAAAACATGTTATTACTGTAAAGAACCGGGTCACTTTAGGAATAATTGTCCGGTGAGGAAAAACAAGTCCCAGGCTGCTGTAGTTGAAGAGAAACCGAATGAGAGCTATAATTCAGAGGAAGATTTAGCATTAGTCAGTTCTGCTAGGTCTGATGATTTATCTGATAACTGGGTTCTAGATTCGGGGTGTTCGTTCCATATGTGTCCACGTCGAGATTGGTTTGATACATATGAACCTCGCAATGGGGGTATGGTTATAGTCGGTAACAATGCTCCATGTAAGGTCACAGGTATTGGTTCCATGAGGTTGAGGACTGTTGATGGGCGGAGGTTAACTTTGACTAATGTACGGCATGTTCCTGCTTTAGGAAAGAATCTGATTTCATTGGGTACCCTGGATGAATTGGGGTACAATGGTGTGTTTTCAGATGGGGAGTTGTGTATTTTCAGAGGTTCTGAGTTGGTACTTAAGGGTATCAAAAGGAACACCCTCTATGTTTTTGAGGGTGTTACACTGCCTAGTTCTGCGGTTTGCGCATCTGTATCTCACCAGGAGATGACTAAGATTTGGCACATGAGGCTTGGTCATATGGGGGAGAAGGGGATGCAGCTATTGTCCAAGAGGGGTCTTCTATCCGGGGTCAAGGTTGCCAACCTTGAATTTTGTGAGCATTGTGTGTTTGGTAAGAAACACAGGTCAAAGTTCAGCAAGGGTGCTCACATTACTGATGCAGTGCTCGATTACATCCATTCAGATTGCTGGGGTCCATCTAGAGTTGAAGGTATGGGAGGTTACCACTATTTTGTGTCATTTGTTGATGACAAGTCCCGATACACATGGCTTAGGTTGCTTAAGTCAAAGGATGAGGCCTTCAAAGTTTTCAAGCAATGGAAAGCTTTGGTGGAAAATCGACAAGGAAGGAAGATCAAGAAGCTACGAACGGACAATGGGCTAGAGTTTTGCAAAGACGAGTTTAATCAGTTCTGTGCAGATGAGGGTATAGGTCGGCATCATACTGTCAGGAAGACACCACAGCAGAACGGTGTAGCAGAACGGGTTAATCAGACACTGCTAGAGAGAGTCCGATGCATGCTCTCTAATGCAGGGCTTGGGAGGAGGTACTGGAGTGAAGCTGTGTTAACAGCTTGTTATGTCATTAATAGGGGTCCTCATTCTGGAATTGATTCCAAGATTCCGTTTGAGATCTGGAGTGGTAAGTTGCCTAATTTTTCGAATTTGAAGATTTTTGGTTGTGTTGCTTATTATCATGTTATTGAGGGTAAGCTGGATCCACGAGCCAAGAAGGGGTGTTTTGTTGGGTACGGGGATGGTGTGAAGGGGTTTAGAATTTTTTCACCTTCGGAGGGTCGGGTCATTCTTAGTAGGGATGTTACTTTCGATGAAAACACCATGTATTCAATTAAAAATGCAGAGATTTCAGATTTGAGAAGGGAAGGAGACAATTTATTACAGACAGATGGGGTACTTGAGGTACATCAGTCTACCATTGCTGATTTACCTCGGGTACAATATATTGATGATGATGCTGATGTTCCAGTGCCGGGTACTCCTGAACCTGAGATTACTCCTACTCATTCTAACTCTGGGGATGAGGTGGAGCAATCTAATCAGGGGTCATCTAGTCAACCTGACACCATTCTTGAGATGCCTAAACGAGTTATCAAGAAGCCTGTTAGATTGATTGAAGAGATGGAGGGAAGAAATTGCTGTGTTGATGCGATGACAGGTTATGCATTGAGTGTAGCTGATGATGTAGAGTCATTTGAACCTGCCACATATAAACAAGCAATTAGTTGTAGTGAGTCTGCGCAATGGCTTGCCGCAATGGGTGAAGAGATGCAGTCTCTTTACAAGAACAGAGTGTGGGAACTGGTAAAAGTACCGGAAGGGAGGAAGCTTGTGGGTTGTAAATGGATTTACAAGAAGAAAGAAGGGTTGTCGGAAACTGAGCAAATACGTTTTAAGGCTAGGCTAGTTGCTAAGGGGTTCAGTCAGGTAGAAGGGGTTGATTTTGTTGAGATATTCTCACCTGTGGTTCGACATACTTCTATCCGTGTGTTATTGTCAATTGTAGCACATTTTGATCTTGAGCTGGAGCAGTTGGATGTTAAAACGGCTTTCCTTCATGGCGATTTGGAGGAGGAGATTCTGATGAAGCAGCCCGAAGGATTCGAAGTTCCTGGAAAGGAACACTATGCCTGCAGATTGCTAAAGTCATTGTATGGACTTAAGCAATCCCCCGACAGTGGTACAAAAGGTTTGATTCTTTTATGGTTTCACAAGGTTTTGACAGGAATTCATATGATTGCTGTGTGTATCATAGTAAGCTGGATAATGGTTCCATGATTTATCTTTTGTTATATGTTGATGACATGTTGGTTGCCACAAAGAATAAATCTGATATTGCTAGATTAAAGGAGATGCTTAACTCGGAGTTTGACATGAAAGACTTGGGTGCAGCTAGGAAGATTTTGGATATGGAGATCTACAGGGATCGGGCTAGAGGTAAGCTTTTCTTGACTCAGAAAAGCTACATTGAAAAGATTTTGTCTCGTTTTGGGATGGAAAAATCGAAGCCTATAAGTACGCCAACTACTGTTAGTTGTAAGTTGTCTTTGTCTATGTCACCTCAATCAGAGGAGGAGTTGTCTTATATGTCTAGAGTTCCATATGCAAATGCGGTTGGTTGTTTGATGTATGCTATGGTCTGTACTAGGCCGGATATTGCGCATGCCGTGAGTGTTGTAAGCAGGTTTATGGCTCGACCTGGGAGGGAACACTGGCAAGGGGTGAAAAGGATTTTTCGCTACCTGAGAGGGACAACTGATATTGGTCTTGTGTACGGGAATGGTAGGGAATGCTTGGTCACTGGGTACAGTGATTCTGATTATGCAGCTGATGTGGATACCAGGAGGTCTGTGACTGGTTATGTGTTCACTTTGGGTGGTTCTGTGGTTAGTTGGAAGTCTACATTGCAGTCATCAGTTACGTTGTCAACTACTGAAGCTGAGTATATGGCTCTAACTTCTGCAGCTAAGGAGTCTATTTGGCTCAAAGGCCTAGTAGGTGAACTGGGTATTGCACAGGATTTTGCTACAGTGTATTGTGATAGTCTAAGTGCGATTTGCTTAGCTAAAGATCAAGTACACCATGATCGGACGAAGCACATTGATGTCAGGTATCATTTCTTACGTACTGACAAGAGGATTAAGGTGAAGAAGATTGGGACTGCTGACAACCCGGCTGATTTCTTCACTAAGCCTGTTCCGTTTAGCAAGTTTAAACATTGCTTAGACTTGCTAAATATTGATTACTACGTGATGTAGTAGGCCCTGAGGGGCGAAGTTGGGGAGCTCCTGGTGTAGGTGTGTTGGCATTAAGGTGGAGCTTGCCCGGGGCTTGTGATGCAGGTGGAGCATTATGAGTTGTTATACTTGGAGACGAGTATGTGATGGGTCTTGGTTGAAGACTTATCGGGATGTATGGCTTATGCATGAGTCCTGCATCGGGTTTGGCTTGAGATGTTTTTTCACTATGTCTTGATGGGGTCGTTTGCTGACTACGAGTTCTCGTCAAGGTGGAGATTGTTGATAAGTATATTAGGTGACTCGTACTTCGTAGCTTTGTCCGCCCGATCGGGCGGACATTGCCCGGTCTGACCGGGCGGAAGAAGAAGAGGTGCCTGGCAAATTCGTTGAAGAAGCTGCTCTCGCGCCCGACCGGGCGAGCCTTCGCCCGACCGGGCGAGCCTTCGCCCGATCGGGCAGACCTTGCCCGGTCTGACCGGGCGGTGGGGGTTGGATACGTTGAAGCATTCGTATGGAGTTTTCTTCTCGCGCCCGATCGGGCAGACCTTGCCCGGTCTGACCGGGCGGAGAAGGAAAAATACGGAACGCGGATTTTGCAGTTTTAGGTTATCTTATTTTATTATCTTTTTGCCCAAGTATCTTTTAATTAGGGATTAATATAAAACCTCCCTAATATCAGTATTAGGGTTAAGAGAGATAGAGTGAGAGCCGTTCTTGAGAAATACAAGAATCATCTTTGTAATCTTTGCAGTTTATAGTGAAATCATTCGATCTCGGTGCCCGTGGACGTAGCTATCACATCGATAGTGAACCACGTAAATTCTTGGTGTTGTTCTTATTGTTTGCATTGAATTTCTTTATTGTTTTCTTGTTTGTTTTCGACCTTTGCTTCCGCTGTCGCACAACAGTTAGACACAAAATCAATCCTTTGTTTAAAATATTTACGAGTTTTAAAAAAGTAATTTTTCCAAAAAAATTAAAAATTATAATTTTTTTTTTGAAAGGCATGTTAGAGCATTTATATTAATTCGGTAAATCCATCTTCGCTAAAGATACAATGCTTTGGGGGAAAGAGTCAAAGCGTATGAGCTTTGTGTGATCCCCTGTAAAGTCCCTAGCAACAAGATGAGCAACAGTGTTGCAACTACATTTAGCGTGAGAGAAAATACAACTATAAAATCCAGCTCTACAATGCCTTATATCATCAAATACATTAAAGATTGGGGCATAACCCTTCGAACTAGATGAGATGGTTGATATCACGTTGAGAGAATCCGACTCGATCCATATATTCTCAAACCCAAATCTTCTGGCAATGATCATCCCATATCTATCAGCAACGGCTTCAGCAATCTCTAGAGACTGTTGGAAAATTGGTTGGGTAGCAGTTAATATAATAGTTCCTTCCTCATTCCTGCCCACTACACCCACAGCTGCCTTCCCTGCACTACCTACGTGCGCATCCACATTCAATTTAAGCACACCTCTTGGAGGGGGAATCCATTCACTATTGCTTTTGACTCCCACCCTTTTGTGAGGATAAAACACGCATTTTGCATAGGTACAGTAGTCAGCCACCCATTTGCAGAGGTTCCCAGCCAGCACTATCGGATTGCTTCGAATTCCTTCGAATAGGAACAGATTTCTGCATCGCCAGACAACCCATATAAGAGCTGCTATTTGGTTGATTCCATCTCCCTGCACCTTCTGATCTAACCAAACCCATCTGCTTGCAAATGACTCCGTAGGAGCCTCCTCTACTAACCCCCTATATTGACTATGCTGCCATATGTCTCTAGCCATAGTACATTCAAATAATGCATGTATGATAGTTTCATTCTCATAATCGCAAATTGGGCACTTACTATTTAATAATGTGTCGTTGCATTAACCGACTTTTCACAGCTAGATTACCTTTCGCCGCATTCCACAGGAAGTGTTTTAGTTTTGGAGGTCCCTTGTTGCTCCAAATTAAATGCCATAGGTTATCCAGATTGCTTGTATCAATAGCCTCAATGATACCTTTCCTTGCCAGATGATAGCAAGATATGACAGAGAATACACCATTCTTCGATTGAAACTAGAAGGTTGTATCGTTTGTCTCATGGATTAGGAGAGGAAGAGAAAGGACCAAGCCACATAAATCCTCACCTAGCACCTGCCGTACCTTCATCGCATCCCACATTCGCCCATCCTCTGTCAACAGCTCATATACCTTCATCTCTTCATCAAACTCTGGGGGCCTCTGAAGATGAACAGGAAGCCTGTTATTGACTAACCAAGTGCCAGACCAGATATTTGCGTCTCGACCATTGCCAATTTTCCACGCCAATCCATCCCTGAACAACCCCTTTGCACCCCAAATGCTCCTCCAAATGTAATTAGGGTCGTGCCCCCTATTTGCCTTCAATATACTCGAGTATTTGAAGTAGCGAGCCTTTAGTACCTTGAACAGCAATGTATTCGGGTTGGATTGTAGCCTCCATATCTGTTTAGCAAGAAGCGAGAGATTGAAGCATTTCAAATCTCTAAATCCCATGCCCCCAAGAGCCTTTGGACGACAAAGAGCATCCCACGATTGCCAATGAAGCCTTCCTTTTATCAGCCGTCGTACCCCACCAGAATCTGTTCAAAATGGTATGTATTTCATCAATTAAGCCGCCTGGAATATGAAACAGGCTCATCATATACGTGGGGATCGCTTGGGCAACTGCTTTGATTAGAATTTCCTTTCCCGGCCTCGATAGAAACAACTCTTTCCACCCATTTAATTTCTTCCATATCCTCTCTTTCAACCCTGTAAATATAGCCTTTTTGGACTTGCCAATAACAGTAGGAAGTCCAAGGTACTTCTCATGCTTATCGACCTCCCTGACCCCCAATGTGCCAATTATAGTAAACCGTCTCTCAGGAGAAACACATTTACTGAAGGCAATCTCCGTTTTATCTAAGTTAACTTTCTGACCGGATGCTCTTTCGTACACACTGATTATTTCAGCTATTTTAGAACATTCATTAGGAGTCGCCTTTGCAAACAAGATGTTGTCGTCTGCAAAAAATAAATGTGAAATCCTCGGAGCCGATTTACAGATTTTAGCTCCCTGTATGAGTTTATAATGCGTCGCCTTTGATAGTAAGCCAGAGAAAGCATCGACACACAGAAGGAACAAATATGGAGAAATAGGATCGCCTTGTCTCAGACCTCTGGAAGGAATTACAGAAACACATATCTCATTATTCACCTTGAAGGAGAAGGATACACTGGATAAGCACTGTAATTTTCGTTTGATCCACTGATCCGAAAATCCCAGCTTACACATCACCTTTTCCAAAAAGCCTATTCCACCCTGCCATATGCCTTGCTCATATCCAGCTTTAGGGCTATCGACCCAGTCCTTCCATCACCACCCCTCTTCATAGCATGGAAAATCTCGAAAGCAATCATTGCATTATCAGTAATTAATCGGCCCAGTATGAAAGCACTGTGATTAACAGAAATAATATCATCTAGAAAGGGCTTTAATCTGTTAGCCAGTGTTTTAGAGATTATTTTATACAGAACATTGCAACAACTAGTCGGCCTAAATTCCTTCATGTACTTAGGATCGTTACATTTAGGAATTAGGACAACGCAAGTCCTGTTAATCTCCTGTAAATCCCAAATACCATTCCACCAGTTTTGCACATATGTAATGATGTCAGGACCGATTATATGCCAGAATTTTTGAAAGAAAAGAGCATACATACCATCTGTACCTGGAGCTTTATTAGGGTGCATTTGGAATAGGGCAGTTGATATCTCCTCAGCCGTGGGAACAACATCTAGGGACTGGTTCATTTCGCTAGTTATTTTTGTTTCCAAGCCTTCTAGTGCAGCTTCCATATCAGTAGGGTTCTCCGTAGCGAAAAGCTTATTACAGTATTCTGCAATAATCCCCTTAACCGCCATCTCATCAGAATTCCATACCCCATTGTTATCAAACAGGCCTTCAATTCGATTTTTCCTTCTTCGCTGGTTTGCCTTGTGATGGAAATACGCAGTATTCTTGTCCCCGTCTTTCAACTCATTCGCTCTTGCCCTTGCAAATTAATAAGACTCCTCCAATCTCCTTAGCTCGTGGATTTCCCTTGCTAACACATCACACCTCTTCAGCATTCTCGCATCAACCCGGCCTTCTTGGGCATCTTGCAAATCTTTCTCCTTGTCTCTTATCCTCTTTTTAGTGTCACCGAAAGTCTTCCGTGCCCATCTTCTTAAGCTATCGGTACACCCAGCTATTCTGACGTGAGGGGAAGCCCCATTATTATCAGTCCACGCCTCCTTTACCACCTTACTACATTCCTCTTTAGAAAGCCATAAGGCCTCAAATCGGAAGAGTTTTGTTGATTTTCCTCTTTCAAAATAGCTAATTGTATCAAGCATAATAGGAGAGTGATCCGATGCTACTCTAACCAAATGTCGCACACTATACTGGGTGAATTTCACACACCATTCGTTATCACCAAGAAATCTATCTAACCTTTCTCGAACCAGCGTCTCAACACTCCTCCCCCTTTGCCATGTAAATACACTACCTTTATATCCCAGATCATGTAGCCCGCAGTCAGATATCGCACTTCTAAATGCCTCCATAGCGCCTTCCCTCCTAGTTGGGCCTCCATCCTTCTCTGTTTGATAGAGGATTTCATTGAAATCGTCGTACATAATATAAGGGATTGTGCAATTATTATTCAATGTACTCATCAAGTTCCATGTTCTATGTTTATTCTCCGATTCCGACCATCCATAGATGCCCATCGCCCTCCAAAGTGCAACACCATTGCTATCACAAACATTAGCTTCAATGTGGTGCTCAGATTTTGACACCAATTCAACGTTTCACTCCCTCCACCAAAGATAAAGCCCACCAGATCGCCCGCTACTATCCACATAAACTCCGTTGTCAAACCCACACCGTTTTTGCACATTAATCAAGCAACTAATATTCGATTTCGTCTCCATCAAAACGACAATTTTTGGCCTCTCCTTCCAGCATAGGTCGCGGAGAGCTAGTTCCGTCTTCGGGTTGTCGATCCCGAAGACGTTCCAACTTAGGAGTTTCATGGCTGTTCGAGGGGTTAGCTCATACCAACACCCTCTACTTGGATATTCCAGTCCCCAGAAGAAGTACTCTGTATCATCCTTCTCTTTTCACTCCCCATGCACTCTTCCACCCTGTGATCATCTATATTCATCTCCTTATAGCTCCTTTTCCCACACTGCTCCACAACACCTGTATTATCCACACGTCCTTTCCCCTCCTCGTGCCCTTCTTTCATTCTATCATAGCGATACCACCCTCTCTTACACTCCTCCTTCTTCTTACTCTGCTTCGTCTCAGTCTTCAACAGAGTGGCCTTAGTGCTTGCCAAACTATCCTCCCCCGTATCCTTCACACTACCATACTGCTCATTAACCTTACTGGAAATATCCTTCCCCATCACCTCATTATGAAACTCAGCACTAGCCATTGAATTTTGGGTAGTAGGGTCAGATACATTATCATTTAATTGGATCTTTTCCCCATGCATACCTGAATCTATATTGGAATTCTCTATAGGGCGCAACATGTGTTTATTACTACTCACATCGAGAATCATATCCAATTGAGCTTTCCTCGTCACAGTCTCCATGTTACTCATGCAATGAGCCTCATCCCCCATCCTCACTTCTATATCATGCATTGGTTTAGGGGTAAACACTAGTTTCTTAGAGGCCGCTTTTAATCGCTTTACCTCCTTAGTCTTTCTGTTTTGCCCACGTCTCGAAGATGCTTTTAACCATTGCCCCTATTGTCTCTCACCACCATCCTCCTCATCATCACTTAGGGTGCAATCCTTTTCCTGATAGCCCAGAACCCCACACCTGAAACAAAAAATCGGAAGTTGTTAAAACAGAACTGCGGGAACAAAAACAGTAAGAACAAAGTTACCGAAAATTAGACTGAGTCGCGGACTATGTCGCTCTGTTTAGAACATTCACGGCACTGCCCTGAAAATGTGCAAGCAGTTCGTACTAAACCGGATGTTCCCCAGGATAAAACAGCCTTTCTCTATTGTAATTATACCGGTGGAACTGCACAAAACCACCGGGCAACTAAACACCAAAAAGAAAAGAAACTGCTCGAGGGTTTTTTTTTGTGAGGAAAAATAGAGAGGAGAAGAAGATTGCTTTCTGTTTTTTTTTTTTGTCTTAAAAACAGGAAATCAACACGCCTTTTATAGGCAAAATTGCAACGTAATTGCTGCTGTTTAATTAGGCACTAATCACGCAATTAAAACGGTCATAAGTTGAACGTTCAAAACGGTTACAGAAGATTAATGCGTGGCAAAACGTTTAGCAAAAAAATCAGTGAAAACGTTTGCATGATTAACGCTCCATTCACTACAAGAAATTCGACTTTGGGCAACCACTAAACTCGAAGCCCAAAACCAGTATTTCGTCGCCCAAACCCTTGGGCAACGAAATGGGTCTAGACATGGGTCTGAAGCCCTAAGGTCGAAGCCCATTACATATTGGGCGACGAATTTTTATTTCGTTGCACAAAGGTTACTTTGTGCAACGAACAAGTTAGTTGCCTATGATCTGTTCATTTCGTCGCCCATAATATTTTGGGCGACGACCAAGTTCGTTGCCCTATATTTGATACTTTGGGCGACAAATTATTTTCGTTGCCCATAATATTTTGGGCAACGAAATTAATCGACGCCCATCTTTGCCCCAATGGCCCAATAGCGTTATGTCGTTGCCCATAGTACTTTGTGCAACAAAGTTACTCGTTGTCCATATTTGTCGGTATCGATCATATGCTTTTTAATAGGGTCGAGTGTTTTTATTATTTTCTTACTATGGGTAGTACAACCTATTAAAAAACAAATAAATCTGAAAATGAATTCAAATACCAAACATTTTGAATAATTATTATATGAAATAGTTTAATTTATAAAAACATATTAAGAAAATGTGTAAATTATAAGATAATCCCACTTTGTCAACAAGGTACATGATCCTTTAAAAATTAAATAAAATAACACTAATTACAAACTTAATTACATCGACCCCTTCTCAACGCTGCTCATATATACCACCTTCAATAGTTGCGATCATCCATCTTTCGAATTCATTGCTAGCCCATGTTATTCCTATGTAAGTGAAACATAAGTTAGTAACATCAAAATAATTATTGAAAGCATCCGATATTTTAGTATATAAATCATGCAATCATTTTCACAAAAATATATACTAGTTATTTTCACCTTGCGAATGAGGATATATCAAAGGGGATGCAAGAAGAATTTACATTTCCTTTCAAAAAAATAATATACCTTTGTCCTACAAAATTTGAGACTCAACATACCTCAGAAAAATTCATTCCAAATGATAAAGCATACCTCACGAAAATTCATTGATGATGAACACGGGCCTCCACCCAATGCTTGCCTAAAAAATCCACAAGCTTTTTTCCTGAATCTAGAATTCGACACTCAAAATGTATACTACTAAGTTGCCACAGGATCAGTTATAGGTTTGGTTATGTTATCAGGCTCTAGGTCAAGCTTTTTGACCTGAGCCAGACCAACGCACAATAGATATTGACTAGTTATATCAGGTTTTTAAAACCGGTCTATATTCAGATGAAGCTATAAATTTTGTGACTGGCTCGGAATTAAGCTTGGTAAAGAAGCTAATATGCATATGCCCAAAGATCCCAATAATAGAAATCAGATTTAAAACCATTTATCCCTACATCACACAACAATATCTTTGAACTGAAAGGGTATTTTATCAGTACTCTAACACCAGAAAGCTTGCACAAACAACGACCAGAAACCAAATCTGATGTTTGGTACAAACGCCCAGACAAATCAATCCCAACTCTAAACACATGGCACATTAACAAATTAATCTTGTTAATTACCACAGCAGCAACCCTAATAACAAATGATAAGGAAAAGAATGCTAAACTATGCCAAGTTTCTACATAAATAAAAAAAAGCAAGTACTGAAATGAAAAGTGTTATGCTAAACTATACTATGCTAAATTTTGCCAGAGCTTTATTTTTCGGAAGGGAAAGGGGATAGCATATGTACTTCATCGAAGGGGAGAGTCACAAGTTCCTGCTTCAATTGTTTATTCAATTTCTAGGAGAAGAATATGATAGCACAATCAGAAAAGTAATAGTTCGTATTGCAAAATACACATCGACCTATAAAAAACTCTTTTTTATGTCAACTAATAATTATCCCTCTTTCTGAACAAGAGTTGTCTTATGTTATTGAACATACGTTAAGTGAATCAATGGAGTTTAACATTACTAACAAGCCTCATGTGTCTAAGATCGATAAGATTATCATACATAGTACTAATTGATTAGAATTTACACTGTAATTGTAAAATGGCAATAAATTACACGAGAATAACTTCATCTTCCGCCAGTATAGCTTGTAAGTTACCAAATCTGATGTTTCTAAAACTTCCTATGAAAATACAAGTAATGCAAAACCAAAGTTGCAGATAGAGGAACACAAAGGCGAGAGGGGATTCTGCATACTCAGCCGACAACTTAAAATACATATAGTCGGCTGAGCAGAGGAGTCATCTATTAACTCTACTCTTTCACAGGTTCATATAATAGCTCCATGCACTTATCTCCAGTTAAAGTTGTGGTGATAGTCAGGACAATGAGATGAACACAGTCGTGGTAAGGAAAAATAAAGGACGATAAAATATGAAGCAGAATCAACCAGCAGTGCTTCTCAATGTCCTAATGATAGTAGGCTTGTAAAGGTCGAAAAGAGGCAACAAAAGAAAAGAAGGAAAAGTTCGAGGTTTAAGGATAAGACACGTGCTATGCTAAAAAGGATGTAAGAAAGAACCCAATGCTACAGAAACAGTCAGGCTCTACAGAGGAGAGTGATGGGGATGATGATAGACACCATAGACATAGTATACAAGGACTAGGTCCAATTCCAAGAAAGAGTAAGATCTTGGAGATATTATATTTTACATGTTTATAGAAGTGAATTATATTTGACTGCATACTCCATCCAACTATGCAGTATGCTTGCTTCATAAACTTCATAAAAAGCTAATAGACACTACCAAGAACCATAACAGCAACAACACACAACAACATATTTTTTTTATAATAACTAAAAATATATATCTCAAATAGAAGATGAGTAAGTGTCATACCTAAAGTTGCTCAAACATTTTCATCATATCATCTCTGAGCTTCTTTTCACGTTTCTGAGCTTCTATGTTGATTCTAGATACGGTCGCTTTAAGCTCATCATTTGATGCTATAAGCTCTTCATTTGAGGTTCTAAGCTCTTCATTAGATTCCTTCAGGGATTCAATCTGAGATACAAGTACACCCTCACGTGTTGCGGCATCCTCTTTTAATTGTTGAATCTCAGCTGATAATTTCACTCTAACTTCATTAGTTTCTCCTTCAACTCTTCTTTTCTTAGGTGGACGAGCTCCAGGACCAAGTCCCTTGACATATCCAGACTTTGGTTTGAAAACCTCCATGTATGCTGCTTTGACACTTAGTGTATCTTCACCATGCTCTTTCACTTCTTTTTCATGAAGGTTTCTAAGCGCTTCATAGTCTTTTTCAACATTAGGTTCAAATCCCTTGTCTTTATGCCTAGCATATTAATTCAAGCACAAGAATAAACAACTCAATTCAATGATTTATAAAATTTAAAAAAACTTATATAAAAAAATACTAAAAAAAACCACCAAGGGACTATTGATTACTTTTTAGTTTTCTCAAATAAGGTGATGTACAGAGGATCCTGTTGAGTTTCAAGTGGATTATCTGATGATCCTTCATGTTCTTGACTACCTTGAGTTTGTTGCACATTCATCTGCATTTATGATAAGCAATGCCAAATTATACAATGAAATGTGATCAGTGCTCAAATAATAGTTACAGTCCAAAAGCTAGCAGAACTAATCTACCATGAAATTATTCATTTGCACCACTTTAAACAAATTATTATATAAATCATTGTAAAAATATAAAAGCCGTACCAATTCATGGAAAATTCTTGCGGTAGACCTTGCACCATTTGCAGGAGTTTCAGTTTGCTTAAGCTTATTATCCGTGTTAACTTTACTAATACGCTACAAGCCATAAAAAAACAAGGCACTATCAGATTATCATAATATAAATTCAACTAATGGTCAGGTAAAAAAAGAGTCAAATGGAATTTTACCTTTTGCTTTTCATCATTCCAATACTCACATACTAGCCATGTCCATTGGTTAGCATCAATATTATCTGGTCTGCTATTTATAGCATCTGCAATAGACTTGTTTCTAAAGTATTTCTCTTTAAGCCTAAATCTCCAATGTTTATACAACATGGAGCACTGAAAGCTCAACGCATCAGTAACATCAGCACCAGCAACTTTATCAGGTAAATCATATTTAGCCTGCCAACGTAAATCATAATAAATATGCATCCATATATGCTAAACACATTCAGACATTTTTCATGGTCTCAAATACTTCCAAAACTTACTCGAATCTTTTTATACAGCCTCTCTTTTGCACCTGAATCCATTTTAGTCCAATTCCTGTCATGAATAAAGTAAATTTAGAGTCATGAAAATTAACTTTAGCAGCATATATTCAAAAAACTTGTAAGTTAAAGCACATACAATGACTTGAGGGGACAAAATTCTTTCACCCAATTGCTACAATCACATATGAATTCATCTGCCTTTTCACCAACCACCCGTCGAAGCTCATCCATGAAATTTATTTTAATCTTTTCTTCAGAATTAGGATTCCACATCTTAGTAACATATTTCTTACCCCTAGTTGGCCCACGCCTCTTACGATCAGGAAACTTTAGTCGATGTTCAGCTTGTTCAAGCCTTCGTTTCTCCCGGTATGTCAATCTTTGCTCTCTGGACTGATCACTAGTTGATGCTTCTGCATCATGCTGCTGCTCCTGATTCGGTTGTTGTTGCTGCCCCACAATCTGCTGTTGTTGCTGCTGATGCACATTCTGCTGTTGTTGCTGCTGGACAGTTTGTTGTTGCTGCCCCACAATCTGCAGTTGTTGTTGCTGGACAGTTTCTTGTTGCTGTTCTGCATTTTGTTGTTGTTGCTGCTTTGTATTCTGTTGTTGCACATTGTGCACATGTTGCCTTGTACTTGACGCTTGCCTTGTCTTAGGCAACTGTGATGCATCCCGCTGCACTTGCTCAATTGCCATTTTCCTATAACAATTTCTTGTGCATAATATTAGTGATATTCAAATAAGTATAAAAGCAGCATAAAATTATGAAAAACTAAACTCCATCAAATCCAATCTATGTAAAGAAACATATAAATGAAAAGACTTACTCAACAAATTAGCAGTTGCATTGCAATGGAGGGAAGACCCCAAACAAGAGAGAACAAAACAAGAAAAGCAAACAAATTGAAAAAAGAAAGCTGCTACAAAACAAAGAAACTAACACAAAGAACAGACTAAAACAAAGACTAGAGCTAGTTTATGTCAAGTGATTAACTTGTCACCATATTAGCTGAAAACCACTAATGCATAAAAATAGTTTTGCAAATTACTAACTAAGAGCAACAAAGATTTGATTATAGATTGTAGTAGCGCCTAAATTGCAACATTCTCCGCGGATGCTGGGTAACTGCAATTATACCAATACAATATATTTATTAATGTAGAAAAAATGATTTAAGTGACTCATTTACTTCATTTTAGTTTAGAAAACATCAATTACCAGAAACTAAGAAGGGGAATCTGTAGAACTATCGCTGTCAGATTCTATATCCTCAAGATTCTCATCTATCTCATGCACGCTAGAGCTTGTATCAAGATCGTCTTCATCATCCTCTTCACTTTCCTCTTCTTGCTCATCGTCATTATCCGTGTCAACAATGTTATTAGTACATTCTAAGATGACCTCTGCATCAACCAACTCTGGTTCAACATCATCTCTTACCATATTGATTTCCTCATCACTAAGTGCAGTGAACTCTTCAAGGTTAGTTGCTCCTTCTTCCACAATATTCCATAGATCTTCATTTTGTTCAGCGTCTTCATCATTAGGGAAATCAAAAAAGTTACGTGGCTTAACTTTAATTACATATTTCCAATGTCGCTCATCATGAGAAGAGATAAAGAAAACTTGTTCAATCTGAAAGGCTAATGCAAAAGGTTCATTTGTTTGCAATGTACGAGAAACATTGACAAGCGTAGACCCAAATTTATCCTTTTTAATCCCTCTTTCGTCGCTGAATACATCAAGCCACTTACACCTAAACAATACCACCTTAGGACTTGTTCGGTTTTCTAAGGCATCATACTCCAGAACAATAACTTCATCTAAAGTCCCGTAAAAGTCCTTCCCTCCACTCTCTGCATCCCCTAATACAACAACGCCACTATTTTGAGTTTTTCGATGTCTTTGACGCTTTTTAGTGTGAAATCTAAACCCATTAATAACATATCCATCAAAAGTTACAACACGCTTCATTGGCCCTCGTGCCAAGCACAATAATTCTTCTGTAACTCGTTCATCCTTATCTTCCCAAAGTTGTATAATCTAATTATTTTCAATATAAATACAAATAAAAAATGAATATATGTGCAGAATTTAATGTATTTATGTGTGTATATATATATATATATAGGAATAAAGCACTATCTTACTCTATTCTCAAACCACTTGCAGAATTCAACATCTCGATGGCCTATGTCATTCTAATACTCACTACGAACAAAAAAAAAATGTTTAGCAACATTTAGTCCGTATAATCGTATAATAATATAATTATAATTTTATATACTTACTCAAAAAAAGGTTGTGCTTCTTCACAATTCTGCAAAACATACAATTGAGCTTTTCTCCAATCTTCAATACTCAATTGCTTTAAATTTGGCTTCCCCAATGTCTTGCCGGTGTTATAAAACACCGAAAGACTATGAAGTTGTGGATAGTTCATATCCTCATTTCGATCTAAACGATTGAATTGTGTCTCAATCTTAGAGAGATATCTAGCACAAAATACTAATAATTCCTTCTGAATATACCCTTCGGCAATTGAACCTTCAGGATGCGCTTTGTTCCGTACAAATGATTTAAATGTCCGCATTGCTCTAATAATAAAGACTAGAATAAGTGTAATAAAATTCACTTTATTTTTAGATATTTAGACATACAATAAATTAAACTTACCTTTCAAATCGATACATCCAGCGATAATGCACAGGTCCAGCCAATTTTGCTTCTGTAGCTAAGTGTATGGGAAGATGAATCATCACATCAAAGAAAGCCGGAACAAAGATACGTTCTAGCTTACATAATGTGATTGCTATATTTGCTTCCATTCGTTCCAAGTCGGCTACTTTTAAGGTCTTAGCGCAAAGCTGCTTAAAAAACAAACTAAGCTCTCTTAAAGGTTCTAAAACTTTTTCATCTAAGACACCTTGAAAGGTCGGGGTAAGCAAATCTTGCATGAAAACATGAAAATCATGAGTTTTCATTCCTATGATTTTTCCATCTTGCAAAGAAGCACATCGAGAAATGTTAGATGAATAACCATCGGGGAATGCTAATTTCGATAAAAATGTGACAATTTTCCTCCTTTCATGTAAGGTCAAGTTGAAAGGGGCTCGCGGTATTTGATACTTGTCCCTTACTTTCTTCGGTCGAAGATCATCGTGCATTTTCATGGCTTCTAAATCCAACCGAGCATTTACAGAGTCTTTGTTCTTTCCAGGTAAGTCAAGCAATGTGCCTAATATATTTTCACAAACGTTTTTTTCCACATGCATCACATCCAAATTGTGTCGAACTAACAGATGTCTCCAATAAGGCAATTGAAAAAAAACGCTAATCTTTTTCCACTGGTGAACAATATATCTTTCCCCTCTTTTTCGTTTCCCTTTATTATCTTTACCAAATTCCACATTAGGGTATCCATGTAGCTGCTCCAAAGCATCATTCCCTGATAATGGATTAGGTGGTGCGCGCCTTTCAACTTTCTTATTAAAGAACCTCTTATTAAGTCTCCACTTATGATCTGGTTCTAAAAAAACACGATGACACATATAACACCATTTGTGGCCATGTTTCAACCATTCGGAATTTGTGTCTTTGTGGCAATTAGGGCAAGCCTTCGCCCCTTTAGTGCTCCAGCCAGACAAATTGGCATATGCTGGGAAATCACTAATTGTCCACATTAACACTGCTCGCATATTAAATGTCTCCTTACTATGGGCATCAAAGGTTTGTACCCCACTCTCCCATAATTCCTTCAACTCATCTATCAAAGGTTGCAAAAAAACATCTATGTCATTACCAGGAGATTTAGGGCCGGGAATTAATAATGACAACATCATGTTGTCACTTTTCATGCACATCCAAGGAGGTAAATTATAAGGTACTAACATAACAGGCCATATGCTATATCTACTACTCATGTTCGCCCCGGGATTGAACCCATCACTAGCTAAAGCCAAGCGTACATTACGTGCATCTGCAGCAAATTCGGGATATAGCTCATCTAAAGACTTCCACGATTTTGAATCTCTTGGGTGTCTCATAATACTGTCGTCATCATCACCAGCATGTCCTTTATTATGCCACCGCATGTGCATTGCGAGCTTGGAGCACATGAACATCCTTTGGAGCCTTGGAATAAGTGGAAAATGGCGCAAGACTAATTGAGGTACTCGTGTTTTTCTATGGACACCCTCATCTTCATCGTCTGAATTCTCATCATCTTGAGAAATATCCTGCTTCCATCGAGGTGCTGAACACTTAGGACATTTAACTTCATTTGCAAACTCCTTTCTAAATAAAACACAATGGTTGACGCATGCATCAATCTTAACATAATCTAACCCTAGCGCTTTAGTATATTTTTTTGCGTCATAAGAGCTTGAAGGCAAATTGTTATCATAATTAAACGCCCTATGCAATGCATTCAATAACATTGAAAAAGACTTATCACTCCACTTGTTGCTAACTTTAATGTGCAACAATGACATAATAAACTCCAATCTCTTAAATGTTTTACATCCTGGATACAAGTCAGCCTCCATATCCTCCACTAATTTTTGGAGCAACATAGGAGTTTCACTAGTGCCACTACTTGATCCTATATATGTGGTTCTTTCATTTTCATTGATTGATGTAGAGTTTATAGAATTCCACGCGCTTGTTGCATCGAAAACAAATGAAGCCATGTCATCAAAAGGACGATCCTCACTCTCATTATCTGAAACCTCTGCTACATACCCTTGATCTTTATTTTTATCAATTTGCTCTACACTTTCTCCGTGACTCAACCATGGGTTGTAACTACGATCAATGCCATATACTAGCAAGTGACATAGCATATTTTTACGAGTTTGTGACATAACCAATCTACAGTTAAGACAAGGACATTTCAACATTGTTTCGCCACTTATTCCCCTAAAAGCAAACCGTAGAAATTCATTAACACCCGCTATGTACTCCTTTTTTTGTCTATCCTTTACACCATTATGATTCATCCAACTTCGATCCATATTCATTCTTACAAACAATAATTAAAAAAAAAAACATTAGCGACAAAAAATGATCACATTAGATAGTTTAGCTATTAACCGTGTGAACAAGAAAATCTTACATCATTAGATTCATCACAAAAACAAACATACCAACACAAGTGATGAAAAATTTGGAGGTTTTAATTTTTTATATAATAGGAACTTCAAGTTAAACTTGAAACTTTATTACTTGCATTATTTATATTGGTCTGTTAAAGTTTAGACTTTAGACTAACTAATACTAAATCTTATGGAATGATGTCGTGCCAATTTAATTGTTTCTTAAGACATTTCTAATTGAATATTATAAATTTGGTTTAGTGCCTAGTATAAAGATATTTGAATTAAAGGGAAATATATCTTTTGAACCCTTTAGATGTAACATACCTAATTATCAATGCAAATATTAATATGGTTATTATGTTATAGTTTTAACTTTTTTTGACACAAAGTTATAGTTTTAACTGGAATGAGATTGTATAGTGAAAGAATTATGGGGAATCTTTCCTTCCTCAATTCATTAAGCATCCTTGGCTTATATACAAGATTACAAGCGTGAAGTTAGGCAGAGTATACAAACTGATTAGCTAGGAATTAGCTAGAGTATACAAACTGATTAGCTCTAATTAAGGGATACATCTAAAGCTAATTATACTCCTAACATATATAACAAATATACAAATTCAGAATATATCCCAATATATTCTAACATATAGTTTAAAGATTCTTAACAGGCAGCAGCTCAATTTTTAGGCAAAGACAGCTCAATTACATCAATCTCATTCCATTTTTAAGTATCAAAAGATTGTGCAGGTAGTCAAGTTATCCATCTTTTCTTTTAATACTTTAAATTAGACCCACTGTATGAGAAAAATCCCAAGATATGTCCAACAGAATGAATATTATCAATGCAAATATTAATCTGATTATGTAAATTACATGTAATGATCATTTTAAGTATTGCTAGATATAAAGTATAATCAATCAACTAAAATTGCAAGAAATTCTCAATGAAAATCACAATAAAATTGTAAATAAAACAACAATACAATTTACTACAAAATTATCAAGAAACTAAACATATCTGAACCAAAAACACATAATCGCAACAAAATTGAAAGAGAATAAACAACGAACCAAAACCATTGTTAACATGATTCATTGATTAATCAATCGACTTTTATAAAAACGCTCAAATTTCCTATAATTCGACAAATAAAATGGGATTTCTACCTTGCATGTTAAATCAATCGACTCACATAGCAGATTATATCAATTCAAAGACCAAATTTCACCCAGAAATGTTAAAAAAAAAAACCGAATTTGTAGATGAGAATTACCTGAATAGATACTCTTTAGATGCGAGTGTAGTGTAAGATATTGTGTGCCGCGTCGGAGAGAACCAGACTAGATCGGAGCGGCCACCGAAAAAACCTGATTTGAGGAGAAGATTATGCAATTAGAGGTAGAGTACGAGGGTTTCGTTTTAGGGAGAAGATTGAATTAGAGGTGAGGTGGGAGTTGAATACCTGATTAATTAAGAGTAGTTCATTTTTTTTTTGAATAGAATTAAGAGTTCATTAGTTTGGGAAAAACCGCGAGAGAACTCTATACTAATTTGTGAACGTGGGAAATTACAAAATAAAAATTAAAATTTCCGCCTTATTTTTAAGTTTTGGGCGACTGTAGAATTAAATTAATTTGTCGTTTTATTAAATTTGGGCAACGAAACAAAAATTGGTAGCCCATATATATATACTCGTGGCACAAAAGTCATATTGGGCTACGGGATTGTATTTCGTCGCCCAAAATATAGATTTGGGCAACGAAATTGGATTAGAAGCCCATATTAACATTTTTGTGCAACGACAACATATTTCGTTGCCCATACTAATGAAGTTCGTCGCCCAAACCCGTTTTTCTTGTAGTGATTAATCAGTTTTGAAAAAACGGTCAAATGTAATCAGTCTAAAACGTTTAGCAAAAATCAAGGAACTAATCACGCAATTAGCCTTGTCCAAAAAATAAGTTTATTTAATAAACCCGACCCGACCCGACCCAACCCGGCTCGGCTCGGTTCGGTTCGGCGCGCGTGTGTGTGATAGATGGTTTACCATATAGGTCCTCCCTCTCCACAAAATGTGGGTAGCCCAAGGGCCACACCCCTTTAGCCCACTCTCTATATTATAAAGAGAGTAAAACTCTCATTTCCCACCAATGTGGGACTTTGAGTTTTTTCACAAAATTCACACACTACACACTTGTTGTTCCAACAATCCCCCACTTGAATTTTTTTTGAAAACATTTTCGAGCAGAATCCATACATATATAGGTTGCGCATAAACAGAAGTGTTTTTCAACTTGAACTTCTACGTAGTGAGTACGATTCAGATTCAACAAGGGTGACTCGAAGTTTTGAACCCTATCTCTGACAACGTACCACACACAACCTACTCTTGGTGTTGTTCTAGACCCGTGCTATTTCGGCCATGCACGTCTATCCCAGTGTAGTGAATGCTCTAGAAATGCTGCCACACATTTCATAGGAAGCGGCCTAACTTCCACATTCACATAGGTGAATCTATCAAGAGTACTCCTGTAGCTTGGTACTCCACTCCAAATTGGAGTATAGATTTCATTAAGAGTTCCTATTAACTCATCCTAGATCGCTTCAGGAAATTATGTCTTTTGAACATATTCAACTCATATCACACCATAACTTGTTATTACCCTTTGAACCTATTTCTTGGGATCTCCAGTCCATAGGTTAGGTTACCATTATGTGTGGTTCATTCCAATGGAAATAGTCCCATTTTCTTAGAGGAAAAATGGACTTTCTCCCTAGCTAATCCTTTCGTCAAAGGATCAGCCAAGTTATTCTCAGTGCGTACGTGATCCACTCTAACAGCTCCGATAGAGAGATATTCTCTCACAGTGCTGTGCTTACGACGTATTTGTCGTCTCTTACCGTTGTAATAATGGTTCTGAACTTTTGCAATAGCCGCGGTACTATCGCAATGGATCAAGACAGCCGGTAATGGCTTTTCCCATAGGGGAATTTCACCTAGCAGGCCTCTTAACCAACCTGCTTCTTCACTAGCCGTAGCTAGTGCTATCATTTCTGACTCCATGGTGGACTGAGCCAAAATAGTCTGTTTCTTAGACTTCTAAGATACAGCTCCACCGGCTATAGAAAAAATATATCCACTAGTAGCCTTAGAGTCATCTGATAAGGTGTTCCAGTCAGCATCACTATAGCCTTCTAGTACAGCTAGAAACCTTTCATAATGCAACCCTAGGTTCATGGTCCTCTTAAGGTATCTCATGACCCTTTCAATAGCATGCCAATGCTCATTACCAGGACAACTAGTAAACCTGCCTAACAATCCCACGACATAGGCAATGTCGGGTCTAGTACAATCAGTGGCATACCGAAGGCTGCCAATGATGCTCGCATAATCAGATTGCCTTACGGCATCACCAGTGTTCTTAAATAATTTAACACTGGGATCATAAGGTGTACTAGCAGGTTTACAGTCAAAGTAACTATATTTCTTTAGGATTTTCTCAATGTAATGAGATTGATCCAAAGAAACTCCATTTTCTGTCCTAGTAATCTTAATTCCAAGGATTACATTAGCCTCTCCTAGGTCTTTCATATCAAACTCAGCATTCAACAATAGCTTTACATCATTCACAGCATGAATGTTCGAGCCAAAAATTAACAAGTCATCCACATATAGACAAATTATAGTGCATATGTCATTCTCAAATTTTACATATATGCATTTGTCACTACCATTTATCTTAAAACCATGTGAGATGACTAAGTTATCAAATTTTTCATGCCATTGTTTAGGTGCTTGTTTGAGACCATAAAGAGATTTATCTAGCTTACATACCAGATGCTCTTTTCCTTGAACAACGAATCCTTCCGGTTGATCCATGTAGATTTCTTCTTCCAATTCACCGTTCAAGAATGCAGTCTTTACATCCATTTGATGTACTACAAGATTAAAAACAGAAGCAAGAGATATTAATACTCTAATAGATGTTACTCTAGTTACAGGTGAATAGGTATCAAAGAAATCAACATTCTCCCTTTGTCTGTAGCCTTTAGCTACCAAACGGGCTTTGAACTTATCAATGGTCCCATCAACTTTCAGCTTTCTTTTTAGGACCCATTTGCAACCAATTGACTTGCAGCCTGGTGGCAACTCAGTTAGATGCCAAGTTCGATTAGACTCAAGTGAGTCCATTTCGTCGTTCACAACTTCTTGCCATAAATCTGCATCAACTGAGGTTAGAGCTTCTTGGAGGGTAGAAGGATCCTCCTCTACATTCAGAACTACAAAGTCTGGGCCGAAGTCTTTTGCTACTCTAGCCCGCTTGCTCTTTCTTAGTTCGGGTTCAGCATCCAAGTCTTGTGAGTTAGACCTGTCTTTAGGAATAATAGAGGAGGACGAACCCCCACTATTTCTAGATTTAAAAGGAAACTTGTCCTCATAAAAATCAACATCATTAGATTCAATAATTACACGAGCATTTAAATCAAAGAATCTATATGCCTTACTGTTAATAGCATATCCAATGAATACGCATTCATAAGCTCTACTAGCTAATTTAACTCTTTTAGGATCAGGAATCCTAACATATGCTAGACAACCCCAAGTTCTGAAATAAGAAATGTTAGGTCGTTTATTACGAAGTATTTCATAGGGAGAAACCTTACTCTTAGTTTTTGGAATACGGTTTAAGACATAACAAACAGTTAGTAGGATTTCACCCCACCAATGATCAGCAGCACCAGAATATAAGGAAATAGCAACTACTAATTCTGTAAAGGTCCTATTTTTCCTTTCAGCCTTTCCATTCATTTCTGGGGAATAAGGAGCTGTCCTTTCATGTATGATACCATGTGAATTATAAAATTCTACAAAAGCATCAGTATCATACTCAGTTCCACGATCACTTCGTAATCTTTTTATTTTCTTGTTAAACTGATTCTCAAATTCTGTTATAAACAACTTAAACATTTCAAAAGCATCACTCTTATTTTTCATCAGATAAATACAAGTATAATCAGAACAATCATCGATAAAGGTGATAAAGTATCGTTGTCCATTTCTGGTCAACGTTCCATTTAGTTCACAAATATCCGAATGAATTAAGTCTAATGGTTCTGAATTTCTAATCACTGATTTATGAGGTGTTTTTGTAATCTTAGCCTGACTACAAGAATCACATTTGTCAAAGTCATTGAGAGAGATATTTGGAATAAGGCCTAAATTGCTCATATTTTTTATGAGTCTTTTGTTCACATGACAAAGTCTAGTATGCCAAACATTAATAGTAGAACACAACATATAAGCAGAACTAGAAATTTTATTAACTTCAACATTCAGTTTAAACATGCCATAAGTAGCATATCCTTTTCCTACAAATATTCCATTCTTAGTTAAAGTAAACAAATCAGAACCTATGGTTTGTATAAAACCAGCCTTATTAAGCAAAAAACCAGAAACTAAATTCTTCCTCATTTCCGGAGTGTGTAACACATCTTTCAGAATGAGAGTCCTGCCAGAAGTAAACTTCAACTCAACATTTCCAACACCAGCAATGTTAGTGGAGTGGGAATCACCCAACAGTACTTTCTTATCATCGGTCTTTTCAGTGTATGTTTTAAACATCCGACGATCATAACAGACATGGCGTGTGGCACCAGTGTCTATCCACCACCCATCTGATCCACCAGTAAGGTTGATCTCAGTAATCATAGCCACAAAAGGCTCTTCAATCATGCTAGCCTGCGGAGGCCCAGGGTTAGGCATGTTCCTGCACTTTCGTGCCATATGGCCTGGTTTTCCACATCGATAGCATAGAAATTGACCAGTACCATTCTTAGGGGGTTGAAACTGTTGTCTTCCATTGTTCTTTTGAACATTCGGTTTATTGAAGTTATTCTTCCGGTTCTGAGGTTTGAAATTCTTACCAGCAGGTTTAAGTACTGCAGCAGATCGCCTAGGAACATTATTAGCAGAGATTTGTAAAATCTCTTCCTTTAGGTCCTGTTTTCTGGATTCTTCTTCTATACGGAGCCGAGTGATCAAACTCTCTAAGGAGAATTCCTTAGTCTTATGCCTGAGATTATTTTTGAAATCTTTCCAGGAAGGAGGCAGTTTGTCAATAATAACAGCAACTTGAAATTGTTCATCAAGGGCCATACCTTCGGAAATTATCTCATGTGCTATTTTCTGAAGGTCGTGGGATTGCACTTCCACGGACTTATCATCAGTCATTTGAAACTTTAGGTACCTACTGACAGCATACTTTTTGGCACCTGCTTCTTCAGTATCATACTTCTTTTGTAGGGCATCCCACAAATCCTTAACAGTGTTTTCCATATTATAATAGTCATAGAGGTTATCAGACAGACCATTAAGAATATAATTTTTGCACATGAAATCAGTTTCATTCCAGGTTTCGATTTCACTATTCAGATAAGGCAGTTCATCTTCAGGAGCATTATCAGGAATAAAGGGCTGAGGGGCTGTTAAAGCAGAATGAACTTTTTTGACAGTTAAGAAAAATTGCATTTTTTGTTTCCATCTTTTAAAGTGAGCTCCTTCAAAACGGAAGGGCTTGTTAAGGTCAGCAGACATAGTAATATCTTCGGTAGACATATAGTTCAGACAGGCAGAAAATGAATGTTCTAAAATTGTTAAAACAGAACTGCGGGAACAAAAACAGTAAGAACAAAGTTACCGAAAATTAGACTGAGTCGCGGACTATGTCGCTCTGTTTAGAACATTCACGGCACTGCCCTGAAAATGTGCAAGCAGTTCGTACTAAACCGGATGTTCCCCAGGATAAAACAGCCTTTCTCTATTGTAATTATACCGGTGGAACTGCACAAAACCACCGGGCAACTAAACACCAAAAAGAAAAGAAACTGCTCGAGGGTTTTTTTTGTGAGGAAAAATAGAGAGGAGAAGAAGATTGCTTTCTGTTTTTTTTTTTTTGTCTTA